CGCCACGTAGGATGAGGACTGAATAGATGCAGGTGAGCTCCAAGGTGGAGGCCATAGTGCAGGCAAATGCTAGATGGGGGCTGCTTGGAGTGGTGCTAGTCACCCAGATGAAGTGAGAGTCTCACCACAAAATGGCCTTAGTTGCCTCAGAAGGACCAAGCACCTAAGCAGCAGCAGAGGAAAGGGCAACACAGGACAATTTCTGAGGAAGTACTCAGTCATGAGTGGTCAGCAACCAATAGTTTCCAGCAGCTAGGAATAAGTGTCTCATTTCTTTTTTTTTTCCATTTATTTTTATTAGTTGGAGGCTAATTACTTTACAATATTGTAGTGGTTTTTGCCATACATTGACATGAATCAGCCATGGATTTACATGTGTTCCCCATCCTGATCCCCCCTCCCACCTCCCTCTCCATCCCATCCCTAAGTGTCTCATTTCTAAAGGAGGGGATGAGGGGGTGAGGGATGGGGGTGGTGGTATTTCTAAGTGACATGTCACATGGCCACTACACTTGTTTAACCATAAAATCTCCTTATTGGTACATATATTTCCCAAATATTTTGAATAAGATTTAATTGAATTTGTAACAACAGAAGTATTCTAAGGTTTCAGAACTCTATTGGTAGGTGGGTCAACAAGGGAAGGGCAACTCAGAAAAAAGTGGTGGTTTTGATATATGATGTCAAGGGTGGGTGAAGGGGATAGAGTTTGGTGGATGAGAGCTATTTCATACCTTTTATTTTTTAAATCTCAGTTCAGTTCAGTCACTCAGTCATGTCCAACTCTTTGCAACCCCATGGACTGCAGCATGGCAGTCCCTATCCATCACCAAGTCCCGGAGTTTGCTCAAACTCATGTCCATCAAGTTGGTGATGCCATCCAACCATCTCATCCTCTGTCGCCCCCTTCTCCTCCTGCCTTCAATTGTTCCCAGCATCAGGGTCTTTTCCAATGAGTCAGTTCTTCCCATCAGGTGGCCAAAGTATTAAAGCTTCAGCTTTAGCATCAGTCCTTCCAGTGAATATGCAGGACTGATTTCCTTTAGGATTGACTGATTTGATCTCCTTGCAGTCCAAGGAACTCTCAAGAGTCTTCCTCAACATCACAGTTCAAAAGGATCAATTCTTTGGCGCTCAGGTTTCTTTATGGTCCAACTCTCACATCCATTTTTAAACCTGGGGTGTATTTATTTATTTTTGGCTGCGAGCAGGGTTTCTCTAGTTGGGGCAAGCAGGAGCTACTCTTCTGTGCAGTGCACGGGCTTATTTTGAGGGCTACTCTTTCTTGTGGAGCATGGGTTCTAGGGCACATGGGCTTCAGTGGTTGTGACTGGAAGGCTCACTAGGTGTGGTGCACTGGCTTAGTTGCCTCTCAACATGTGGAATCTTCCCAGACCAGGGATGGAACCCATGTCCCCTGCATTGGCAGGCAGTTTCTTTACTACTGGACCACCAGGGAAGTCCTCATACCTTTTAATAGCATGCAAAATATCATGCAGGTCCAGGCTAAGATATTAAATTTCCAAATCCAAAGATACATTTCAGTAAAATAGAATAGAATATTTTAGAAGCTCTCAGAAGCAGGATGAACTTTAATAGGGGGGAAAAAATCTAAAGTCCTGTCTAAGTTTAGAAATTACTTGTATATATGAAGAAAAGTGTTGCTATGTGTAAAAAAGTAGTTCATGTGAAAAAATATCTAAGTTTAATTTAGATTTTATCTCTATGACATGACAGTTTTACTTCTATGACATGACTGAGAAAAATGATAATGTAACCTTTAAGCTGAGTTAAGTCTATGCTACTGTAAATGACAGTTCTAGGGTATCCTGTGTTACCCAGATCTCATCTGTGCTCAGTTCAAAGTATTTTATAGCACACATATAGAAAAATGCACGAATCACAAATATACAGCTCAATGAATTTTCACAAAGTGGACATACCCACTGGAGTGACCAAATGTTCCAATTTCCCTGAAAGTGTCCTGGTTTCAGCACTGAAAGATTTGTATCTTGAGAAACCCCTCTGTTCTGAACAAACTGGGTGGTTGGTTACGCTAATTCACTCAGATTAAAAAACAACATTATCAGCACCCTAGAAGCCCTCATATGGATTGTCAGTCACTATCCACCCCTCTTCCCCAAAGGAAATAACTATCCTGACTTCTAACACAGTAGATTATTTTGAGGTCCTCTATTTTAATATGAGCACAGCAAACTAAAGAGCAGAGGTTAAAACCTCATAGCTCATGGGCTGAATCCAGCTGGCAGACGTTCTGTTTGAGTTATGCAATACTGGCCTGTAGAGTCTTTTCTTTTTCTCCATGTACTTTATTTGAGGGACAGTGCTAAGAGTTTTAATACAGGTATAGATTCATGTAACCCTTATCACACTCAGAATACAGTGTGTTCAATTGTCACAAAAATCTTCCTCATGCATCTCCTTTGTAATCACATATTCCACTGGCTCCTAGTCCTTGGCAACCAATGATCCGATCTCCATCTCTCTAGTTTTGCCTTTTCCCGACTGTCATACATTTGGAATCTTACACACCAGGGAACTGGTGAGTGTGCCTTATTTCATTCAGCATAATACCCTTGATGTTCACGCAAGTTGTTACTTGTATCAATAGTTCATTCCTTTGTATTGCTGGGCAGTATTTCATTGTATGAACATACTTCTTTTTTTGCTTATCCATCCAAGGACTTCTGAGTTGTTTTCAATTCTGAGCAATTATGACTAGACCTACTATAAACATGTGTGTACAGGTTTTTTTGGTGTGTGTGTGAACGTGAATCTTCATTTCTCTAGGATAAATACCTGGGAGTGGGATTGCTGGGTCATATTCTAAGTATAGGTTTAATTTTATAAGAAACTGGAAGCTGGTTTCTAGAGTGGCTGTACCATTTTGTATTTCTACCATCAATGTAGGAGAGTTCCAGTGGCCCTCCATCCTTGTCAACACTTGGTATTATTATTTTTATTTTAGCCACCTTAATAGATACAAACTTGTACCTCATTGCGGTTTTAATTTGCATTTCCCTAATAGCAAATGATATTAAACATTTTCTTATGTGCTAATTTGTTATTTGTATATTGTATTTAGGGAAGTGTCCATGAACACAGGAGCCTGGTGGGCTACAGTTCATGGTGTTGCAAAGAGTTGGACAGACTGAGCAATTGAGCATGCACACACTAAATCCTTTGACCATTAAAAAATTGTTTCCTTAACATTGAGTTTTGAGAGTTCTTTATATATCATGAATTCAAGGTAACAGTGTTCGCAACAAATAGCTTCTCATAGCTCTTTAGGATAAAAATCACATCTTTATCATGTTTGTTAAGTCCATGGGATCTGGCCTCCCCTTGCCTTGCCTCATCAGTATAATTTTAGACCTCTCTTCCTGCAACTCTATTTTCCAGCAACGTTGGACTTTTTATGTTGGACTTTCCCATTTTAAGATCTTTGCATATCTGATGCTCCTTCAAATTTGTAGTGGAAAAAGCTTCCTTATCTTTTTTGAGCTTCCGTGTTCTCATCTGTAAAACAGAGATAATAACAGTACCTACTTCAGAAAGCTATTGTGAGGAGTAAATGGGTCAGGTATGTTCAATCCTTAGTACAGTGTCTGGCATACAGCAAGCGCTCAATAATTGGGAACTGTTATTAAATTCAGTCTATCAAATTATATGCTTGTTTTAGTTTCTTTGCTGATACCCTTGGTTGCTATTCTATCTTATGCAAAAGGAATTGCTTCCGACTACTACAGCAACCCAGGTGGAGTGAAATGAGTGCTAAACGTGTGCAGAGCTGATGACCAGGAGGCCAGCAGGCCCATCTGGGTCTCAAATTCAGACTCAGTTGGAAATAACTCCATGGAGATTTCCCAAATATGCACTGACAGGATTGAAAGAAACGAATGCTTATAACTTTGAACTTGTGTCTCAGTACCAGTGCACTATGAATTAATATTTCCTACATCTTACCCGGATCTTGAGTGCCGCGTGGAAAGTTTTTATGTTTCTTCTTTTTTTTTTTTTTTAGTTTTTATGTTTCTGACTCAAATTATTTCATTCCAGCCAACTCTGTAAGTATGTTGGACCCGAGTGCCTGGTCCTGAGCAGTGGTATCGGTACTATACTATAGGTGTATGAACTCTACACCGTAACTGTCTAGGTTTGAATCTACCATTTACAAGACCTGAAACCCTAAGCAACCTCTTTGTGCATCAGTTCATTCATCTGTAAAATGAGGATTGCTAGTTTGTGAGCAATGTGAGTTAATACGTGAAAAATGTTCCATGTGTTTGCCATTAGCTTTGCGTTGTAATCAAATCATTGCACTTATTACAAAAAAAAGGTAGCAGGGGAGAAAGGGAGAAGCAGGGTCTTTCCCAACTTCTGAAAGGTCTCAATTCTTAAAGGAACTTAGCAGTCTAACGGAGAATTCCTTTTGGGGGAGCCAGGAAAACAAACTTTCCACAAGGAGGCGCCATTTGCATCTATCCTGAATAGGGTTGCCGGGAATTCCATGGGGTGTGGGGTGACGTTTTCCCCCAGGCTGCCGTGGGTTTGCGGGGCTCAGCAGCTGCTCTGGGTGCGGCCGCAGGAATCCGGGCCGCGTCCGGCCCTCGGCGCCAACCTGCTCCGGATCCCTTCACCGGCTGGCTCGGCAGCACCGCCTCCCGCCTCTGGTCACGAAAGTTCCCATCCGCTCGCTGCGTGCTGGACGTGACTGGCGGCAGCTGCACGTCCCACAAGCGCCCTCGCTGACTGACAGCGCCTCGGTGCAATGGCAACCAGCGGGCGCCTTCGGGCCGCGTTCTAGAGCGGCCACTGGGCGCCGAGAGCAGGGCGCAGCGGCCGGAAAGGGGCGGGGCAGGAGGCGTGGCGACCGGGCCCGCGAGGTGCTAGGCATTTTCCACGCGTTCGGCCTCTGAGTCGGTCTCAGTCTGTCGCTGTCTCTTCGTCTGGCCACTCGCTGCAGCTGAATTGCCAAGATGTCGCTTTCTAACAAGCTGACTCTGGACAAGCTGGATGTGAAGGGGAAGCGGGTCGTCATGAGGTAATCCTTGGGGTTCTCCCGCAGCCTCTCCGGCCGGGGCCGACTTCTTTTCCTCCTGCCTCAAGTGACCTTTAGCCCTACTCTCGGCCCCTTGGGCTCTAGCCCAGCAGGGCGAGGCTGGCCACCATTGTGGCTGAGGTTTTGCCCGGGTTTAACGGTTTCTGACCTCATTTTCCCCCAGCCCAGAAACTGAGCCGAAGTTGCCCTTTGCAGGGGTGGATCCTCCCAGGGAGGGTCAGATTGCGGGGATCCATTTTGCCGTCTTTTCTTGTTTCTGAAGGGCCGTTCCATCGCCTCCAGTTCTCAGTTGGCGAGGTGGGACCTGATGCTTAACGTGCAGATCCCTCGGCCTCCAGTGAAGGGACCTTGAAATTGAAAGGTCATTTGGATAGTTTTCCTTCCTCCACCACCCTAGATCACACCCCAGACCAATGACAAATGGCCCACATTTCTAAGGTCCCTGCCCAAAGGGACATCTTTCCCAGAGGATGCTGATTTCGTTGTTCAGGAGTAGAATCCACTAAAGCGTTGAGGGTAGGAGGGTGAGGTAGGGTGGGGCGCACGGAAGGAGGCCCTGCAGAGCTTATGTAACAGGCCTCTGCCGCCCTGTAGTGTCTTTGGACTACAGGCCTTGGGTTTTGCAGCAGGATTGTGACACATACTGGGTAATGGTAGAGCAGGGTGTGGCTACTCATTCTTGATGTTCTCTAACCTCTCTTCCAGAGGTGGCTAGAGAAGCAGGATGTTAGAAGTGGGGAAGGCTTGCCACCTGCCTTGGGTCTCCTACTCCAAACATGTGGATCCCTGGCCACATGGCTTCTCCCTTGTTTGCCAGAATTACTAGTACTGATGTATGGAGTATTTACATTTCTCCTTTTTGTAACATGTGTACATTCCTGCATGCCAGGAGCTAATTGCAGGAATTCAGTTAGGTATGTAACTGACTTGACCTTGATAGGATCCAAGGGTGGTGCTTTTGCCAGCATGAAGTCTTGTCCTTTTAGGGAAGTGGTTGATTGATGGGCAGGCATGTGAAAGATGTGATCCAACCCCTTTCCCAATTTCAGCTGGTTCAAGAGAGGGCAACTTTTCTATATTAATGGATTCAGAAAGCAGTAGGGGATCTCCCTTAAGGCTTAAACTAGGTAGGTGCTGTGAATTGGTGTACTCTGTGGATGGCCTAAAAGTTAATGTAGCTCTCCCCTTCCCTCTAATTTCATTATGGCCACTATTAGTTTACAGGTGGCCTTCTCTGTCCTGCTATGGCAATAATCAGAAGAACCCAATGGCTTATGGCCAAGAAAAACACCTGGTGCCCCCTTTTGCTCAATCACCTAAATCCTTTGCAATCTGAACAGAGTAGGAATCACAGCCATCCTAGTATTAGATAATGGCCCTGTCTACCCCTCAGATGCTTTTAAGAAAGATGGATAGACCTTAAGAAAAACAGGACAAGTGGACAGTGGTGTGCAGCTAGATCTTGGCTACCTTCCTACAATTGCGGTCCGGGCTTTATCTCTTCTCTTCCCAGGTTTGAGGAATTATCTGAGCTGGCTGAGAGTGAGACTGGAGGAGGTGCTTATCTTTTCTCCCTCTGGACCTAATTTGAAATATGTTTCTGCCCCAGGGCTCAAAGTTTCATTTTACACAGATTAACCGTAAGCTTTGAAATGACTGGCTAGTCCTGTTTTGCTGTTGGAAAATGACCTATCCATGGTCACTGAACTAGCAAGTTGGTGGCAGAACCAGAACTAGAATTTGGGTCTCCTTGGCTACCAACCAGATCCTCTAAATTCTTGGATGTAGTGAATAAGGACAGGTTAAAATAGACCTTTTGTCAGCTGAAGGTTGCAGTCAATAAGTTCCCCGTGTAATCTGGATAAATTCTACTTATCTGGTTTGAGGACAGGAAGTTGCTTTTCCCCCGAATTATTAATGTAGCTCTTGAACAGAGAGTCACATTCATTGTAGGATTGCTTTTTGCAAGAGTCTAGGTAGCCTTGCATCGTCAGCTCAAATTTCTTTTTAACTGCCTTTTTAATTGCTGGCAGTGTTCCGGAAGTGGAGCCTCCAGTGTAGTGGCTGCTTCACTTGCCTCCTTTCTTTGTCTTGCAAAAGGGAGCTGTGATGATTGCGGCCCCTGCTTTGAACTGCCAAGGGAAATTGACTGATTTGTTGAGGGAACTTCCTGATAGCCAGAGATCTCTGACTGGATAATTACCAGGTTGTACCTCAGTTTTTTAGGATTCCATTTGACTTTATAGACCTTGAGTAAATTTCCTGTTTAATTTTGCCATGTCATTTCCTTTCTTTCTCTCATAGGTTGCCAGTCATACTCCTTTGCCGACTGGTGAAGCACTTCCCTTTTGCTTGCTCCCTCTCCTCCATTTTTTAAAAACCTCACAGTTTTTCTCTAACCTGTTGTAACTTGTTAAGCAACAGCTACAAGTTGGTGTAGTGGAAGAAGAAACAGGGAGGAAAAACAGCAGAGAAGAAAAAAAGTCTCTGAGAGAGCCAGTTAGTTATTAGTCGCTCAGTCATGTCTGACTCTTTGCAACCATGTGGTCTCCCGCCAGCCTCCTCTGCCCATGGAATTTTCCAGGCAGGAATACTGGAGTGGGTTGCCATTTCCTGCTCCTGGGGATCTTCCTGACCCAGGGATTGAACCTGGGTCTCTTGCATTGCAGGCAGATTCTTTACTGCTGAGTCACCAGGGAAGCCCTCTAAGAGAGCCGTTATACCCCTATTTCCCGCTCAGGGACAGTGAAGTAAGGGTGGGAATGGTTTCTTGGAGAGCTTTTAATGGAACTGGGCCTGAACTGAGATTTCAGGTGATAGAGACTTGATATCCTTATTACAACTGAATTAATATTTTTAAGGTTCATTCTGAAATAGTTATATGTTCACAGAACGTTGCAAAGATAATATAGAGAGGCCCTGTGTTCACCCAGTTTCCTTCATTGGATACATCTTACATAATTACAGTACAGTATCAAGAGTAGGAAGGAAGTTGACATTTGCTATTTTATCACATGTGTAGATTTGTGTAACTCCCACCACTATCCAAGATACAAAACTAATTTTCTTTGAGCAGCACTAAGATCTCCCTATGTGTCATCCTTTAGCATCTTGGCCCCTCTCCCTCCATTCCTAAACCGCTGGTAACTACTAATCTGTCCTGCATTTCTATAATTTTATTTCAATATGCTATATAAGTGGGATCACAGATGGCATTTTTTCGCCCAGCATAATGCCCTCGAGATTTATCCATATTGTTGTATCAGTCGTTCATTCCTTTTCTGAATAGTAGTCTATGGTATGGGCTTCCTGGGTAGCTGAGCTGGTAAAGAATCCGCCTGCAATGCAAGAGACCCCGGGTTGATTCCTGGGAAGGTCCCCTGGAGAAGGGATAGGCTACCCACTCCAGTATTCTTGGGCTTCCCTGGTAGCTCAGACAATAAAGAGTCCGCCTGCAATGCCAGAGACTTGGGCTCAGTCCCTGGGTTGGGAAGATCCCCTGGAGGAGGGCATGGCAACCCACTCCAGTGTTCTTTCCTGGAGAATCCCATGGACAGAGGAGCCTGGCAGGCTGCAGTCCAGTGGGTTGCAAAGAGTCAGACATGACTGAAGAGACTTAGCGGACATGCTTAACCTTTTGAGGAATTTCCAGACTGTTTTCCAAAGCAGTTGCATCATTTTACATTCCTACGGGCGTATGAGTGATCAGTTTCTCTGCATCCTCACTAACGCTTGATGTCATTTTTTATTTCATCCATTATGATATGAGTGGTGTGTAGTGATATCTGACTTTGTTCCTGAGGCTGAGCTCAAAATTAAGAGAAGTAGAAAAGGAAGGGGTGCAGATTTTACACAGGATATGTGAAATGTGTAGGCTCGAGCAGTTTCTGTGGTGGAGTTCTCAGAGAGGAGAAGTTAAAAGCAGAGCTGTTGTTAACAGCCTAGGAGATGATGGGGGAAGGTAATTCACAAGCAACGAGAAGAAAGTATAATAAGTCCTTTTCTCATCAGTAAGCTATGCCATGGCAGCATGGATAGATGAGATAGATTCTTGAGTGTTTCTAGAGAATTTCTTCTGTGTCATGGCTCTGGGATAGGGAGCAGCACTGAAGGGGTGGCTTGTGCTCGGCCCCTTGCTGTTAACCCTTTTGAATGTGGGCCTTCTTGGAGGCTGCAGAGGGTGGGGGAAAATGATCTATGGTAATGAGATACTCTATCCTCTTTGGAATGCTCTGAGCCTTGCTCAGGATATTTAAAGAAGATGCTTAGACTCAGAATCAAGTAGCCTGAAATTAAGTAGACTGTTTCTTTCTTCAGAAGCATACTGCTTTTATTTTTAAAGATTTTAAATAAAAATTTGAATATAGAATTAATCCTTCAACTCCTCTTTGGAAAGGTTATTCTTCAGTGAAATAGAGTACAGGCCTAGGGGACATAGGAAATTGGTGGTCTTCTTAGTTGGTTTAGGATTTTGTAATTGTCTGCCAAGCCTCAGCCTAAGAGAGGAAGGACTAGTGATGGAGTTTTATGGTCAGACACAGCAACAAGTCTTTTTGAATCAGTCATACCTTCACTGTTGTTCTTTAGTGCGTGCTAGCTGTTTTTAGTAATGGTTGATGTGCCTTTTAGATCACAAAATCATGTTATGGAGAAGTCCTCACATGAATAATAATAGTTACCACTTTTATGGCACTGTTTATCAGTTTCTCTCTTAAGTACTTTGCAGATCGCTAACTCATTTAATTCTTAAAATAACTGTAAAGTAGATACTATCATTCCCATTCTATAGATGAGAAAGAAATCAACTTAAAAGGGATCTTGGCAGGTGAAACCTTACAGATAACTAGCCCCCACACATCATTGCCTTCTTAGGGGATTGAGGTTCCAATCTGTCTGAAAGAAGGGGGAAGGAATGACAAGTTCTTAAAAATGATAAAGCAGCAGGAAGTTGCATAAGAGAGGAAACTGCAGTAAATTGCTATCTTTTTTCCCCCTGCCCTGGCTGTGCCCTGTGGCTTTTGGGATCTTAGTTCCCCAACCAGGGATTGAACCTGGGCCCTTGGCAGTGGAATCTCTGAGTCTTAACCACTGGACTGCCAGGGAATTCCCTGCCTGTGCTGTCTTGATCACGTCCCTTCTGATTGCCTGTTTGTTAGGTGGGCAGGGTCACATGTTCCATCCTCTCCTCTCAGGTTTTTTTTTTAGTTTTTTTTTTAAATTGAAGTATAGTTGATTTACAATATTGTGTTAGTTTCAGGTGTACAGCAAAATGTCCTATCAGGCTTTTAGAAAGAAGCTATCTTATGGTTATTGACTGTGTTTTGCTTGAAGGATACTGTGTGAACTTGGTCTTGGACACTGGGTTTCTTTCTGGTCCTGAGGTCCAAGACTTTCTCCAAAAAGAATGATACTCTCTTGATGTGTTTTATTTTTCCAGTTTTTTTCTTTTGAGAAGTGTTTACTTCATTAGGACCCACAAATATTACCAGAGAAATCAGAATCCAGATGTGTTCTTTATAACCTTACCTTCAGGCATGCTGGGCCCACATAGAAATCTTTTTAGATGGAACTAGTTTCAGCTTCCCAGGTCTTCAGGGCTTGTTCCTGTGATTTTTTATTTTTTAAAATTTCTCTTAAAAGGTGTGAGACACATATCTAAAAGGGCACAAATCAAAAGCTCAAAGAATTATCACAGAAAGAGCACATTTGTCACCAACATCAAGAAAGAGAACAATATCAGAACCCCTGAAGCTCTCTCTGGTGTCCTGTCTAAGTCACTACTCCCACTCTCCTCCACATGGCTAATCACTATCTTCTAACACTGCTGATTATTTTTAAGGGGACTTTTGAACTTCCACTTATTTAACTGGTTCACTAAAAGTGCCTCTCATAATCTTTGAGGGGATGATAATTTGATCATGGCTCTGAACTTGACACTTTGTTTCTTTTTCAGAGTAGACTTCAATGTTCCTATGAAGAACAATCAGATAACAAACAACCAGAGGTAATGTCCCTGTTACACCCTGAGCTAGGTTTAAGATGTACCTGTGTCTGAATATATGTAATGAAATGGTTTTCCATTCTGATTGTAGAACTATAGCAACTTAAGCTGCATGATCTTGGTTTTCAACCAACCCACCATCTGGTTTGCTTTCTTATGAGAATTTAGAAATTGAAAAAAAAAATCATTTTAAGAAGGTGATTTTTTTTCCTCCTATTTTTTTAATTTGAAGAATTTGGGGTTATACATTTTTGAAGAATATCAAGGTTTAAGGTTACTTGGCTTTCCTGCAAAATGAAGAAGTGTGCATGTAGTTTTACAAGCCCCTATTATAGCTGGTCCCCATAAAATCAGTTTTTGAGAATTTTGATTTAAGGGAAAAAACTTCAGAAGTAATACTTTCAGTCAGTTTAGGCTGCTCCACATGTCTTGGCTCCTAGATTCAGAAGCAGACATTTTAAGTGATAGTATTGTTCTTGCTTTTGATTAGATTCTAAAAGATTTTTATTTTAAGAACTGCCATATGACCCAGTAATCCCACTTCTGGGCATACATACCGAGGAAACCAGATCTGAAAGAGACACGTGCACCCCAATGTTCATCACAGCACTGTTTATAATAGCCAGGACATGGAAGCAACCTAGATGCCCATCAGCAGACGAATGGATGAGGAAGCTGTGATACATATACACCATGGAATATTACTCAGCCATTAAAAAGAATTCATTTGAATCAGTTCTAATGAGATGGATGAAACTGGAGCCCATTTTACAGAGCGAAGTAAGCCAGAAAGATAAAGACCATTACAGTATACTAACACATATATATGGAATTTAGAAAGATGGTAACGATAACCCTATATGCAAAACAGAAAAAGAGACTCCGATGTATAGAACAGACTTGTGGACTCTGGGAGAAGGCGAGGGTGGGATGTTTCAAGAGAACAGCATCGAAACATGTATATTATCTAGGGTGAAACAGATCACCAGCCCAGGTTGGGTGCATGAGACAAGTGCTCGGGCCTGGTGCACTGGGAAGACCCAGAGGGATCGGGTGGAGAGGGAGGTGGGAGGGGGGACCGGGATGGGGAATACATGTAAATCCATGGCTAATTCATTTCAATGTATGACAAAAACTACTGCAATGATGTAAAGTAATTAGCCTCCAACTAATAAAAATAAATGGAAAAAAAAAATAAAGACTTCAACAAGCAAACAAAAAAAATAAAATAAAAAGATTTTTATTTTAAATGAAGGGTTTGAGCTGGAAAGGTATGTTCTAATGATCTAGGCCTGTGCTGTCTAATAAAAATATAATAAAAGCCACATGTAATTTAAGATTTTCTAGTTGCCACATTAAAAAGTAAACAGATTAACTTAATTTTAATTTATTTAATCCAGTAAGCCCCAAATAATCATTTTAATATGTAATCAATTAAAAATTAATGAAAGGAACATTTAACTTTTTTGGTATTAAGTATTTGAGATCCAATACGTATTTTACTCTTAGACAACGTACCAATCTGGCTAACTACATTTCCAGTATTGAGGAGCTCCCTGTGGCTAATGGCTACCATATTGGACAGTGGAGGTATAGACCTAGAACATTTTCAGATGCTGGCCCCAGAATAGAGTCTGGCATTCTGTCAAGCACATCCCTCCTGCACCATAGTGGAAGGTCTTTGTACAAGGCATCTCTGACCCTTCTTGGCTTTTTCATTATTTTCTGCGGCATACATAAAAGATTAGAAATAGGCCTGTCAAGGTATTTTATGAGTAGAAAGCAGAGAAACAAGTCTGAGTAGATCTTCATTTTCAGAAATCCGTGGAGTTGATAAATAAAATGAAGCATTAGAAATAATAGAACTTGGCTCTTAAGGGAAAATGCCGAAGATTAATTTGGTTTCATTGGGCAAATGTACCTGATGAAGGTTTCTTGTTTATTTGGTATAATTGAGTTTTTATATCTGCCAAATAGCATAAGATAGTTAGAAATATAACTTGACTTTTTATTATTCCATTTTTTGCTGAAATGTCATCTTATTAGAGAGACTTTCCCTGGCTACCCTCTCTAAAATCCCCTCCACCACTATTCTCCAGTCGTTCTTGTCCCTGTAGCTTGCTTTATTTTCTCCATAGTTCTTCTCACTTCTGTGAGAGCAGAAATTATTTTATTTACTGTTGTATTCTCAGAATCTGATATAGTAGCTGCTACAGAAGTAGCATTCAATAAATATTTGTTGAGTAAATAAATGATTTTCTTTGTTATCAGGTTTAATTTCTTAAATACTGCCAAGAATGGAAAGTTAGTATTGGGTTTGTAACAAAAATTTGAAGTGTTTAAAGAAGTTTAATACATTATTGGTTAAACTGTAATTTTATAAACACAATGCGTTATGTAAACCACATTCTATATAATGTATTTGTTTTCTCCTACATAAAAAGTGACTTAGGATTTTGTAATGGGTACTGAAATGTTTTTTCAGTTTTCCCAAAATTTCTTTTAATGGTTTCAAGATTTGAGAATTTTATATTTCTTTCAAAGTCAAACACTTGGCGTGTTTCAGGGGTCCCTAAAAGCACCCACATGTTTGGTGATTCACTAGAAGGATTCACTGCTAAAGTTTATTAAAGTGAAAGGATGCACGACAGGATCAGCAAGTGGAAAAGACACAGGCAGAATCTGGAGAAATCCATGCTTAGGTTTCCATGCATGCTCTCTTCCTCTCATGACACCAAGTGCACTCCTTTCTCCAGCAGTGAAAATGCAGTAATTGTGTGTGATATCTCTGCCCAGAAAAGCCCTTCAGAGACTCAACTGGGAGTCTTTTTACTGGGAGTCTTACTGGGAGCTGATCACATGGGTACCCTCTGCCCAGCAGCTACCAAAATTCCTTACTCCTAGAGGGAAGCAGGTGTTGAATATAAACCTGTTTGTACAGACGGTCTAGGAACTGTGAACAGACTGTCAGGGAACTGAAGGACCACCTCAAAAGCCAAGTTCCCAGATACCAGCCAAGGGCCAACCTTGCAAGCAGGTCCTTCTGAAGACAGCAGTTTCAGTCCTGCTATATTAATTTTATTCTGCACAAGGTGCAAAACATGATGAGATTGTATAACCCTAGGTGGAAGGTTGACATCCTAATTAACTTCTGCCCCTGCACATGAACCTGAGGACCATCACTGAGTTGCTGACAGTAGATTTGAAGGAATTTGGAGAAGAAAGGAGGCTTTATGTTTAATGAGGCCATGAATAATACAGTTCTCACTCATTCTTAGGAGTAGCCTTGTTCTACTTGCTGTTTCTTCTTGGTTGCAGGATCAAGGCTGCTGTTCCAAGCATCAAATACTGCTTGGACAGTGGAGCCAAGTCAGTTGTTCTTATGAGCCACCTGGGCCGGCCTGATGGTGTCCCCATGCCTGATAAGTACTCCTTGCAGCCAGTTGCTGTAGAACTCAAATCTCTGCTGGGCAAGTATGTTTCAGGTTCTGGTTAACTCTGTGACAGGAGATGTTGTCAAGTATGTTGTTGCTGATTCTTAACTTTCAGACTGTTCAAGTGTTTCTGTGTCATACTCTCTCCAGGGATGTTTTGTTCTTGAAGGACTGTGTGGGTCCAGAAGTGGAGAAGGCTTGTGCTGACCCAGCTGCTGGGTCTGTCATCCTGCTGGAGAACCTTCGTTTTCATGTGGAGGAAGAAGGGAAGGGAAAAGATGCTTCTGGGAACAAGGTAGGACCTGTGATTTTGACATTAGTAGGGGTGAGGAAGGCTGAGTATATGAGACTGTGATTGAAGAATAGAAGCAGCTCATGTGTATTTTGACACCTTTTTATTGAAATATAACATACATATAGAAATGCACAAATGCACAGCTTGATGAATTATCACAAAGTAAGCACACCTGTGTAACCAACACCGCGGTCAGAGAATAAGATATTGCCAGCCCTGGAAGCCCTCCTCATCCTGCTCAAGTGGTTTTTGAAATACCTTGGAAAGATGTGAACACCATTTGGGTGTAAGAGTATTTGGTGAACATGCTGCTTCTAATTGTCCCTTTGTTACACACCTGGCCTTTGATATATGAAGATGTATTTTTCTAATAGTACGTGATAATATCCTATCAGAATGTAGGCTGTCATTTCCAAGTGCCGAGAGCAGACCTTCACAGGTGGTTGTGGGGCGTGAGTATCCATGATATACCAGGTGTTTCTCCAGCTGAGCCAGTTTTAGATTGTTTTATCAAGGCTAGAACAGTTTTTATAAGCAGCAGGCCCTTGTGTGTTATTGAATAATATGTATTCTTATTTAGAAGGGGAATTAACTTAAAGCTTGAGCTTGGTACTTTTAAGACAGTAAATTAAATTTAATATCATTGGGGTTTTCTTATAAAAGAATCATGTGACCAGAAAAAGTGCTTTCCTAATTCAAGTGGAAAGGGACTATTTGGAACATTTGATTGAATTAGGTAGATGATGGTCATGATGATATTACCTTGGGTTTAAGGCATTTTTTTTCTTAAGTGTAAAGGATCTTTCTTTGAATTTCTTAAGGAATGACAGGTATCATCATATTTTTTTTTTTAAAAACCTAGGTCTCAGAAAGGCAGTTATTTGACTAAAGTTAGAGGTAGTAGTACTGTTGCTGGGCTTTATATATAGCTCAGTCCATCAGTAAGCAAACTTTATGTAAAGGGTCAGACAATAAATATTTTAGACTTTGTGGGTCAGACGGTCAGTCACAACCTTATATGGTCTGTGTTGGAACTGTTCAACTCTGCCATTGTTGTACAAAAGCAACCATAGGGGAAAAAAACAAAAAAAAATTTTAAAAGACAACCATAGATACCCACAAAATAGATTACCGTGACCTGACAACCAGGATTTAAATATTAAATGATAGAGCTGGCTCTTTTGAGGATGATTTCGAGTTTGCCTATTCGTAGAAAGGAAGCTGGGCTTCTCACAAGGCTCAGTGGTAAAAGAACTCACCTGCCAATGCAGGAGCCTCGGGTTCGATCCCTGGGTGGGGAAGATCCCCTGGAGGAGGGCATGGCAACCTACTCCAGTGTTCTTGCCTGGGAAATCCCATGAACAGAGGAGCCTGGTGGGCTGCAGTCCATATGGTCATAAAGAATTGGATACAACTGGGCACGAATGCAGAAGGGAATCAGAAAGCACCCTTTATACTTTCCACTCTTTAATGTCTTTAGTATCTTGGGGAAGAAGATGCTCTGAAGCTAGCTTCTCAATCTCATGTTGTGCTTCTGACATTTCTTAAGGTCATCAGAGTGCCTGCTTTCAAGCAGTTTCTTTTCTTAGCACTGCAGGCTCAGGTCTTGCCTTATCTTGCCTTTGGCATGGTCTTGCTACAGTAGTAGGAGTTAAATGCTGACCTAAAATTTGGTGCCCTTTTAGACTGAAACTCAAGCTGCTCAACTCTTGGGCTTAGAAATGGCAGGAGGCAAGTTGAGGCAAAACCTTATATACAGTAAGTGATGAACCAACTGTGCTAGTCTATGTCTTTGTGGGTAGTTTACATTTAGTGTCCAGTGGCTTTTCATGCTTGAAATTTTTGGAGCCAGCCATAAGTTCAAAGTAAATAAAAAATGAAGTGAGGCATGAAATTTTTCCTTTATGCAGAGTACCTGCATTATCTTTTAGGAGCATTCTCTTCCTTCTGGTTCCTGGCAGATAAAAAAAGAGAAATAGGTTCTGGTTATTATTAATTTTCCCCCGCCCCTGATTATTATTAATTTTTATAATACCTTTTTCATAGATAACTTTTAATTTGTGTCATTTTCCCACAAACAGTTCCTTTTTTCCCCCACAAACAGTTCTTAAGTAGAGAAGTTGTCTTCCCTTTTTAATAGATAGGAAAGGATAGAGAAAAACTTGACAAAAGTTACACAGTAAATTAGTGTCCGATGTGGGCCTAGAACCAAGGGCTCCTGCCATTTGGGCAGTGTTTTCATGACTACACATCTTGCAGTCACTGGTGGCAGATAATACTCCAGTCTAAAGAGATTATGGGGGCTCTACACTTTAGTTTCAGCATTAGTGCCGCTGTATTCTTTGGGCCACTAGAGGAAAGCCCCTGTTCTTTGTGACAGCCTCCTTCACTTCAATATATAGGAGAATGGGAGTGGACAGTGACTAAACATCTGCTTTGACACTTCTCTGCCATATCCCCCTCATCTGGCTTTCTATGCATCTTTGCTTTGTTTCCTACTGAAGACTCATTGTTTATCCTGCTGTCCTGCTTTCTTTCCCCTATGAAAAGGGTGGTATCCCTGGATAGTGAGCTGACATTCAAAGCCTTATGTTTTACATCAACTTTTTGTCCCTCTATCTTTTTTGTAGAAATGTATTGTTTTCTCAGATGCCTAACTTCCAGGGAGAGCTATATGAGTTACCTCCTTTTGATATATACAGTGTTTCTGAGGTGCTTTTCCGTTGTCAGGTTTCCATCTGCCTTCTCTGTCCCAGCTTGCCCTTGTTGCTTTCATGAGAAATATGTATGAGAGCTTTTTTCCATTTGCAGAAAGGTCTTGGCAGCTAGCAGCTTGACTCAAGTATAGTCCTAAATTTTACAAGGAGAATATGTTAAAATGAAGCAGTGAGTCAAGGAGAGAGAAAGATAATTTGTATTTTGTCCTAGGAGCTGGAGAGAGACCAGTGGGATGTGATTAGAGGTTAAGCTGTGATTCAGGTATCTTAGGCTTGCAATTTGAGGGGGGAGGCAAAGGAGAGCAGAAACATGTAGAAATGAGCAAAAGATCTGGAATATTTGGAAGAAAGAACAGATCCTGTTGCTAGTTTTAAAAATTGCTATCCTGCCAACTCAGGGTCTTTAGATATGTTGAAGAGGACTCTTGGTATGAAATGCTTTTACAGTTGTCTTTGGAGTTATCAATATCTCCTATGTTCTCCCTGCCCCTTTTTTGTTTTTCTCTTCAGGTTAAAGCTGAGCCAACCAAAATAGAAGCCTTCCGAGCTTCACTTTCTAAGCTCGGGGATGTTTATGTCAACGATGCTTTTGGCACTGCTCACCGAGCCCACAGGTACTAAAAGTTTTTTGTTCATTGTCAAACTGAGAGCATTATTTCTCTGTTTACTTAAGTAGCCAAAGCTCTGGAATGGTTTTGGAAATTTCTGTGTTGTATTGTGATCTTTTTGGATTCTATTTCTCATTGGAGCTACAAATAAAACTGTGGTTCTTGTTGAGTATCCCTGATCTAAAGATGAAATAAAAGTAAAAAATGTTGAGGATTGTGGAACTTTTTGTTGAGCTTTAGGAAGATTTTGCTCTGTCTTACTTTGGATATTTCACGGAGAGCTCTCCCTTTGTGATTGCTGTGGGAGCAGAGTTTTAGGCTACCAGTAGGAATCAAACTGAGGAATCCTTCCCTGTTGTCATCACCTGGTTGATAATTTATTGTGGTTAAACCCTTGGTCTGAAGACTGTTAATTGGGTATCTTAAATTTTACTTAAGGTAGTTGCTTCTCACTTGTTCTCCTTTATCCTGCATTTTAAGCCAAAAACCTTATCTTCTACTTAAGTGTTTTGTTGTAGTTTGGGAATGAAAACCATGGTGTCCTGGTGTCTCAAAAGTGAAAGTATTTCAGTGATAAGGAGATGACCTCTAGAATTGGGAGAATTGCTAAGGATTGACTAAAATTTGAATGTCTCTGTTCCTTTCTAGCTCCATGGTAGGAGTAAATCTGCCAAAGAAGGCTGGAGGTTTTTTGATGAAGAAGGAGCTGAACTACTTTGCCAAGGCCTTGGAGAGCCCTGAGCGACCCTTCCTGGCCATCCTGGGCGGGTACAGAGAACTCTTCAAGATCATACTTTTCAGTAGTGTTTTTTACCTGGTTCAGTTCAGTTCAGTTTAGTTGCTCAGTTGTGTCCGACTCTTTGCAGCCCCATGGACTGCAGCATGCCAGGCCTCCCTGTCCATCACAAACTCCCAGAGTGTACCCAAACTCATGTCTATTGAGATGGTGATGCCAACCAACCATCTTATCCTTTGTCATCCCCTTCTCCACCTGCCCTCAGTCTTTCCCAGCATCACGGTCTTTTCAAATGAGTTAGCTTTTCACATCAGGTGGCCAAAGTATTGGAGTTTCAGCTTCAACATCAGCCCTTCCAGTGAACACTAAGGACTGATCTCCTTTAGGATGGACTGGTTGGATCTCCTCGCATTCCAAGGGACTCTCAGGAGTCTTCTTCAACATCACAGTTCAAAGGCATCAATTTTTCGGTGCTCAGCTTTCTTTACAGTCCAACACTCACAACCATACCTGACTACTGGAAAAACCATAGCCTTGACTAGACGGACCTTTGTTGGCAGAGGAACATCTCTGCTTTTTAATATGCTATCTAAGTTGGTCATAACTTTCCTTCCAAGGAGCAAGCGTCGTTTAATTTCATGGCTGCAGTCACCATCTGCAGTGATTTTGGAGCCCAAAAAAATAAAGTCAGCCACTGTTTCCACTGTCTCCCCATCTATTTCCCATGAAGTGATGGGACCGGATGCCATGATCTTAGTTTTCTGAATGTTGAGTTTTAAGCCAACTTTTTCACTCTGCTCTTTCACTTTCATTTAGTTATTCACTTTCTGCTATAAGGATGGTGTCATCTGCATATCTGAGGTTATTCATATTTCTCCTGGCAGTCTTGATTCCAGCTTGTGCTTCTTCCAGCCCAGCGTTTCTCATGATGTACTCTGCATATAAGTTAAATAATCAGGGTGACAATATATAGCCTTGACGTACTCCTTTTCCTATTTGGAACCAGTCTATTGCTTCATGTCCAGTTCTAACTGTTGCTTCCTGACCGTGCATTCAGTTTTCTCAAGAGGCAGGTCAGGTGGTCTGGTAGTTCCATCTCTTTTAGACTTTCCCACAGTTTGTGATCCACATAGTCAAGGCTTTGGCATAGTCAATAAAGCAGAAATAGATGTAATTTGGAACTCTCTTGCTTTTTCGATGATCCAGCAGATGGTGGCAGTTTTATCTCTGGTTCCTCTGCCTTTTCTAAAACCAGCTTGAACATCTGGAAGTTCACAGTTCACGTATTGCTGAAGCCTGGCTTGGAGAATTTTGAGCATTACTTTGCTAGTGTGTGAGATGAGTGCAATTGTGTGGTAGTTTTAAGCATTCTTTGGCATTGCCTTTCTTTGCGATTGGAATGAAAACTGACCTTTTCCAGTCTCGTGGCCACTGCTGAGTTTTCCAAATTTGCTGACATATTGAGTGCAGCACTTTCACAGCATCATCTTTCAGGATTTGAAATAGCTCAACTGGAATTCCATCACATCCACTAGCTTTGTTCATAGTGATGCTTCCTAAGGCCCACTTGACTTCACATTCCAGGATGTCTGGCTCTAGGTGAGTGATCACACCATCATGAAGATCTTTCTTGTACACTTCTTCTGTGTATTCTTGCCATCTCTTTTCAATATCTTCTGCTTCTGTTAAGCCATCATCACCATCCTTAGACCTGAAGGGCAAAAGGGAAATGATGGTTACCAGAATCCAGAGAGGGTAGTTGTGTGGAGATGGCCCTCTGATGAGAACTGTATAGCCTTTGGTCAAGGGATGGAGGATAGTCATCTAGCAGGGAAGGAGCCAGGGAAATAGATACTCTGATCTCAGTTTAATGTCCTATTGATGTATCCCCTCTTACCCACAATGGGCTGCCCCCCAGCTGGATGTCAGGGCAAAGGACCTCCTTGATGCAGTCTATGCAGGTCAGCCTCCTGGGACAGAGAACAGGGCTAGAAAGGATAGAAGATGGTTCTGTAGGGAAGAATTGGAAAGATCCACTATTGCCCACTATTGCTTATCTAACAATTTTTGAAGCACTTGAGCCTTTCAGATATGAAAACCTCCTTATATGTGTTGAATATATCATTTTGAATTCATTTTTTCAGATCCCATACCTTTTTATATTTTTTTCCTGTGGGGAAAAGTACTCTGAATAGTGATAATGCCACTGGCTTAGTTAAAAGTAGAAATTTCAGAAGTGCAAGTCAAGAGACTACGAGGATACATTTTAGGTGATAAAGTAGGGACAGAGACCTGGGACTTCTTGGATAAGATCTTGTCACTTGGCACGACTATGTAGATAGCAGCCTCTTTATGGCTAGATGCTCCTTACCCTTTTATGAGCAGGGTTTTTTTTTTCCCATGGGACTGAACACACTCAGCATTTCCCTATGAAAGTTGACTCTGGAGTTGGGTGTCAGTTTCAGGTAAGCAGAGTTGCTCTCCAGGCTTCATGATCCCAGTTTTAGGGGCCTAAAAATAGTTAAGGTAGGTACTTGTATCTGTGTCCTGGAAACATTGACACTCTTGTGCACCGGATTATAAAGGTCAGCCTCTGATCTTTGCTTCTCTGGAGACTGGGACTTGAGTTTTGTTCTCAATCCTTCCCTAGACCTGGAATATGGGAGTGAGTGCCACCTAGTGCTTATGATTAGGTTTTGGACTCTGCCTAAAATTGCTATTTGGGGGAAGTTTACACGGAGGGTTTTTTTTTTTTTTTGCCACCTTTCTTTCAATTAGTGTCCCTGAGAACATTAACAATATACGGGAAGATTTTACATTTTATTAAAAAATTATTCGGTTGGGAATTACCTGGTGGTCCAGTGGTTAGGACTCCTCGCTTTCACTGCCCAGATTCTACTCCTGGTAAGGGAGCTAAGATTCCACAAGCCGTGCAGTGTGGCCAAAAAAAGAAAAAACCCCAAAACGTTGTGGAAACACTCAAATAGTATAATAAACTCACAGGTACCTATTACCCTGTTATAATAATTACTGTCATTTTTACCAATCCAGTTTCATCTGTCCTCTAATCCTTATTTTGTCAGGAGTATTTGAAAGCAAGCCTTAGATATCATATAATTTCATTTCTGATACTTCTGTATACATCTCATAACTTGAGATTTCTTTTAAATAGCCACCTGTTACACCTAGCAAAATTTAATAGTCTTACTGTTAATACTGTCATCTAATACCCGGTCTGTATTCAGAATTTCTCCATCATTTCAGAAATGCCTTTTACAGGCAGTTTGTTTGAATGAGGATCCAGATGAAGTCTATGCATTGTATTTGGTTGTTCAGTTCAGTTCAGTGCTCAGTCATGTCCGACTCTTTGCGACCCCATGAATCGCAGCATGCCAGGCCTCCCTGTTCATCACCAATTCCAGGAGTTCACTCAAACTCATGCCCATCAAGTTGGTGATACCATCCAGCCATCTCATCCTCTGTCATCCCCTTTTCCTCCTGCCCCCAATCTCTCCCAGCATCAGGGTTTTTTCCAATGAGTCAGCTCTTCGCATCAGGTGGCCAAAGTATTGGAGTTTCAGCTTCAGCATCAGTCCTTGCAGTGAACACCCAGGACTGATCTCCTTTAGGGTGGACTGGTTGGATCTCCTTGCAGTGCAAGGGGAAAAGTCTTCTCCAACACCACAGTTCAAAAGCATCAATTCTTCAGTGCTCAGCTTTCTTCACAGTCCAACTCTCACATCCACACATGACCACTGGAAAAACCATAGTCTTGACTAGACAGACCTTTGTTAGCAAAGTAATGCCTCTGCTTTTTAATATGCTATCTAGGTTGGTCATAACTTTCCTTCCAAGGAGTAAGCATCTTTTAATTTCATGGCTGCAATCACTATCTGCAGTGATTTTGGAGCCCCAAAAAATAAAGTCAGTTACTGTTTCCGCATCTATTTCCCATGAAGTGATGGGACCAGATGCCATGGTCTTAGTTTTCTGAATGTTGAGCTTTAAGCCAACTTTTTCACTTTCCTCTTTGACTTTCATCAAGAGGCTTTTTAGTTCCTCCTCACTTTCTGTCATAGGATGGTGTTATCTGCATATCTGAGATTATTGATAGTTCTCCCAGCAATCTTGATTCCAGCTTGTGCTTCCAGCCCAGAGTTTCTCATGATGTACTCTGCATATAAGTTAAATAAGCAAGGTGACAATATACAGCCTTGACGTACTCCTTTTCCTATTTGGAACCAGTCTATTGTCCATGTCCAGTTCTAACTGTTGCTTCCTGACCTGCATACAAGTTTCTCAAGAGGCAGATTAGGTGGTCTGGTATTCCCATCTCTTTCAAAATTTTCCACAGTTTATTGTGATCCACACAGTCAAAGGCTTTGGCATAGTCAATAAAGCAGAAATAGATTATTTTATTAGTTCCTAAAGAAGCAGGGCATTTGATGTATAGAACATCTCATGTTCTTTAGATGTTGAATCTCTTTTCATCCTTTCTCTTTCCCACTCTCTCTGTGTATGTTTTTGTATAAAGCAGTTAATCTATTTTTACCCTTGGTGGTGATGAGTCTTTACAAGTGAGAGATCAGTAGTCTCTTGCCATCCATTCTTCCACATCACTATTGTTTTGAACCTTCATTTCACAAATCCTAGCATAAGGCCTCTTACAGAGGAGATATCGTCTTATTTATTGAATGAAGAGGCAAATAAGCCCAAGGTGATTTGCTTATTTAAGTGGGATTTAGATATATAGGAATATTTGTGGAAGGCAAGCCATTACTTAGTGAAGGATTTTAAAGGTTGTGCTTCAAGTGAATTTGTTTTCCTTGTGTATATTTTTCTCTCACAGGGAGGTGAAAGGTACATGTGTGTTTATTATCTTATTTCCCTCTTCTAGAATATAAGCTCCAAGGGGGTAGGGATCTTTGCTTTTGCCCAGTGATGTTTATGTTTCTTAAAGACCTAGAACAGTGCTTGGCACAGAGTAAGTACTCAGTGTTTTTTTTAAATATTTATTTATTTAGGCTGTGCCAGGTCTTAGCTGTGGCATGTGGGATCTATCTAGTTCCCTGACCAGGGATCGAACCTGGGCCCCCTGCATTAAGAGCACAGAGTTTTATCCACTGGACTACCTGGGAAGTCCTGTACTCAAAGTTTTTTAAGATTTTTTTTTTTATGTGGACCATTTTTAAAGTCATTACTGAATTTATTACACCATTGCTTCTGTTTTACATTGTTTTGGTAATGAGGCATGTGGGATATTAGATTCCTGACCAGGGATCAAACCCACGCCCCCTGCATTGGAAGGCAAAGTCTTAGGCACTGGACTACCAGGGAAGCCCCACAACCAATGTGTTGAATCAAGTGGTCCAATAGAATAATGCATGCCATAAAGCAAATATTCCAGAAACTAAACATGGACCTAAGAGTGTGAATATCTTGTCTGTTTTTGCTCAGTATATATTTGTTTGGTATCTAATTTGATACCTGCTTTAGGGTTAGGACAGTTCTCAGCTTAGGGATCCCACAATTAGCAGCCTTTCTCAAGTATAATTACCAATCTTGACCTTTGATTTTGGGGGATAAAAAGGGACAAAACAGATCTGTTTGGAACTTGTGATTTCTTTAGATGATTGCAAGTCTTCTAAGCCCTTCTTGGCCAAGAGCCACACCTTAAAAAGATTTCTTAGTAATGGATTGGCTTTTTGGTGTTGGAGAAACATAGGGCAAAGCTAGCCAGTACCTTTTAAAAAATATTTTTTTAATGTTTAATTGGATGATAATTGCTTAACAGTGTTGGTTTCTGCTGTACAACAACATGAATCAGCTATAAGTATACATATATCCCCTCCCTCTTGAGACTTCCTCCCAGTCCCCCCATCCCACCCCTATAGGTCTTCATAGAGCACCAGGCTGAGAGCCAGTACTTTTGTCACTTTGTGGGACATTTCTCTGTTCCTGTCCCTTGATATAAAACTTCAGGCTTTGTGTAACAGCAGTTCTTTAGTCCTTTGTTCTTTTGGTGATGATTCTTGCTTTCCCTTCCAGAGCTAAAGTTGCAGACAAGATCCAGCTGATCAATAATATGCTGGACAAAGTCAATGAAATGATTATTGGTGGTGGAATGGCCTTTACCTTCCTTAAGGTGCTCAACAACATGGAGGTAGGAACCCGATGCCAAGTAGATGTGAAATAGCTCTCCATGAGAAATAGGTTTATATAAATTTAAAACAGAAATTAGCTTATGGCATGAGCCCTAAAAACTCCCATTTTTATTTATTTTGCAAGTTGTTTTTCTTTTGTCTTAGAATTATTCCTTTATATTGTGTTGTATTTCATACTGTCTGCTTTGTGAGGTAAACACATTCTTAGAATATAGGCTGATCTTCATCATCTTGACTTCCCTATATAGATTGGCACTTCTCTGTTTGATGAAGAGGGATCCAAGATTGTCAAAGACCTGATGTCCAAAGCTGACAAGAATGGCGTGAAGATTACTTTGCCTGTTGACTTTGTCACTGCTGATAAGTTTGATGAGAATGCCAAGACTGGCCAAGCTACTGTGGCCTCTGGCATACCTGCTGGCTGGATGGTGAGTCACTTGGGTGGTTGGAAGTATGAGTGAACAAATACATTTTGGTATCATTCATTCAACCAATAAAAAATTAAAGGAAGTTCTCCAAATATTGCAGTGAGCCCTTCCTTCAGGGAGAATCCATGGGGTAAAAGCATGGGTAAAAGCTAAGACTTTTCATTTGAAAAGTGAGGGCAAAACTGCTTTTTGTTTCTTCATCTGTTTAATGTTTATTAAGTACTTAACCGATTGCTGTGGATGATGCTATGTACTTTCATAGTTTGGGCTGTTCTGTTGGATTATGTTGGACTAAATATTATTTCTGCCTAGAAACCTGTATAAGAATTTTTTTGTATATGAAAGCATTAAGGTAGTACAGTTATTACAAGCAGGGAAAAATCTATGTGTATATTAAGAACTTATTTAAATAGTTGATTATAGTACTCTCCATTTGTTATCGTTCTAATATCTGTACAAAATTGTTAATGTTGACATACTACTTTGCTTAGTCACTGTCCTTCTGTTAGGCATGTGGCTTTAAGTGTGGTTCCAAGAACAGCAGCATCATTTTGAAGCTTGTTAAAAACTGTAAATTCCTACCCCCTTCTCTCAACCTGCTAAAGCAGAAACTCTGGGAGTAGGGCCCAGAAATTTGTGTTTAACAAGCCATCCTGGTGATTCTGATGCACCACAAGGTTTGAGAACCACTGATCTAGTTTAGTGTTTTTCAACCTCGGCACTATTGATATCTCAGGTAGTTTTAGTTGTGGAGGGCTGTTGTTGCATTGTAGGATGTTTAAGGAATCTTTGCCCACTAGATACCAAGTAGCAACCCCCTACCACCTCTAAATCATGACAGCCAAAAATGTTGAGATATTACCATATGTTCCCTAGGGAGGGGTGGAATTGACCCTAGTTGAAAACCACTGAGCTAGTTACAATCATAAAATAATGTGGCTAAAAATGTTTTTATCAAATAACTTTTGAGGTTTTCCCTTAGACTTGATCTTCCATAAAGGATATGAACAAGTTTGTAATTTTAAAGAATGAAATGTCTCTTGTATCTTATACTCTGGTATTCAGCCTTGAGTTCTGGTCTTGGTGGAGGTGTGGTATTTGCTCCTAAGTAGCTTTACTTGGTAGCTCATCCTCTCTTTTTAAATCTGCCTCTTAGGGCTTGGATTGTGGTCCTGAGAGCAGCAAGAAGTATGCTGAGGCTGTTGCTCGGGCTAAGCAGATCGTGTGGAATGGACCTGTGGGTGTATTTGAATGGGAAGCTTTTGCCCGAGGAACCAAAGCCCTTATGGATGAGGTGGTGAAAGCCACTTCCAGGGGCTGCATCACCATCATAGGTAAAGGGTCCTGTACAAAGCTAATGCCATGTGAGCTGGCAGAAGATCAGAGGAAAGTAGAGGGGAAATAGTTAACTTTTCCTAGGTTCCTTGGTGCCGGGTGGATCTTGAAAGCTAAGTGGGTATATGATTCATGGAGAAACCTGTAAAGGAGATGGAGTTGGGGGGTTATCAGTTACCTTTTGGGCTTGAGAGCACAGTGCCTTATAATTTTGGTGCCAGTCTTTTTTCTCTTCTCTCCTTCCCCCTTTTTATTTGGTTTTCATTCAACAGGTGGTGGAGACACTGCTACTTGTTGCGCCAAATGGAACACGGAGGATAAAGTCAGTCATGTGAGCACTGGGGGTGGTGCCAGTTTAGAGCTCCTGGAAGGTGAGGATCTTTGATGTTTTTGGCTTATTTGGCGGAATGACAGGGTTTATGCAGTAAGAGTTAAGTAGAATGGAGTGGAGACAGTAGGTTGTAGTGTTGTCATTAGAAGTCATGGGCAGTACAAATGGAGGAACTTCAAGTAAAGCTCCTGGGTTCCATTTGATATGGGGAGGGCCAGATGGGAAGATCGTTATTCTCAAAGAGGTTATACACTAGTACACCTGGGGCCCAAAATGTAGAAGTTACTTAACTCCTGGCCATATATCCTAGACAAGAACTGCTATGTTATTGGGAAGATAGGAGGGAACAGATCTGGCTTAGTGGATCTTATAGTAATGCTGACCGTGTGTGTGTGTATGTGTTCTCTCAAAAACAGGTAAAGTCCTTCCTGGAGTGGATGCTCTCAGCAGTGTTTAGTACTTTTCTGCCTTCTTGTTCCTGTGCATAGCCCCTAAGTCAACATAGCATTGTCTGCATCTCCACTTGGCATTAGCTAATGTCTTCCCCCTTGTCAATAATCAGCTAGTGGCCAAGAGATATAGTGCCAGGAACCCTCAAACAGTTGCAGAACATCTCAGCTCATCTTTGCTGTACCTGGGAATTTCCTACCTTCTTTAAGACCCCATTTGAGTTTCTTAGAGACTAAACCGTTGTGCATTCTAGAGTACATATATTTATATTATGCCTGTTAAAGAAAGTGGGCTGTGTCAGCTTAGTTCTCTTTCTGAAGTAGATTATTCTGATTAGCTTTGTCATTGTTTCACCACTCAGCATGGAAACAAGATGAAATTCCAATTATTGGTATGGAGGGAGATGAAGTTGGTGATACATTAAATAAAAAGATCCATTGAAACTGGATTTTTTTCCTGTCATATTTTGTTATTTAGGATGAGAACAGAATCTTGAGGAAGGGATCAGGTCATCTATGTCCATATTTCTAAGTAACATGCTTAAACTGTTGACATCTCGATTTCCTAAACAAGGTATCTGTTAATTTCATACATGGGGAGATTAGCTCCCTTATAGCCTCTGTTCCATATATACTTCCCCTATTTGATTCTCCCAGTATCAGTTCAGTTCAGTCACTCAGTCTTGTCTGACTCTTTGCCACCCCATGAACCACAGCATGCCAGGCCTCCCTGTCCATCACCAACTCCCGGAGTCCACCCAAACCCATGTCCATCGAGTCAGTGATGTCATCCAACCATCTCATCCTCTGTCTTCCTCTTCTCCTCCTGCCCTCAATCTTTCCCAGCATCAGGGTCTTTTCAAATGAGTCAGCTCTTCGCATCAGGTGGCCAAGGTATTGGCATTTCAGCTTCAACATCAGTCCCTCCAGTGAACACCCAGGACTGATCTCCTTTAGGATGGACTGGTTGGATCTCCTTGCCATCCAAGGGACTCTCAAGAGTCTTCTCGAACACCACAGTTCTGTTAGAATTTGAGATTTAATTAATAGAGCCTACATTGTGATTATAACTATAATTCACAGCTTAATTATGCCATGATTATATTTCCTTACATACCTTTTTTCTTTGGAGTTAAAAGTTTTAAAAATTGGTGTCTTTCTGTCTATCACTGATTCATTCCCAACATGCTCAAATGTACCAGTTGGTTCTTTTTTTTTTTGGCTGCACTGTGTGGCATGTGGAACTTCCTAAGCAGGGATCAAACCTGGGTCCCCTGCAGCCGGAAACATGGTCTTAACTGCTGGACCACTGGGGTTAAGTCCCAGTTGGTTCATTATTAGAGATGTCCCTTCTGGAGTCCTTTGTGTTCCTGTTCCAGTTTGTCCTGGATGCCCCCTAGATTGGCTGTAGAGCTGTTGCCCTGGGGTTTCTTTCCAGAGGAAATCTCTCTGGGGTAACTCTTGGGGATTCCTTTAAACTCCTGTGTAGGGCCTTCCCTTTCCTGTATCTTCCCCTCCCCACCCTTTCTTTTACTCTTCCTTTTGTGAAACACAAGATTCCACTAGCTTTATGAGAAATTGAGTGCCTAGGAGGCAAAATTTTTATATGTCTGAAGATATCTTTATCTAACTCTTACATTTGCCTGTTTGGTTATATGTAGAATTTCAGCCTACATATAGCAGTTTCTCAGAATTAGAGGCTGATTCATTGTCATTGCCAAAAATCTAATGACACTATTAAAAGATCAAAGTAATTCCAATGACATGATTCTTCTACTGTCCTTGTAATTGTCCCTCCTTTCTCATTCCTGTCATTTTAATGGAGTTTGAGGAATGAGCAGAGGTAAATGTACTTTCAAAAGGTCGTGTTTAACCAGAATTTTTCTACTGGGCGTTTAACATACTAGAGTATATATTTCACCTTTATGGATAAAGAGAGTTAAACTATTGGCCACAATCACAGAGCCAGTAAGTAACAGCAGGGATTAAAGTTCACATTTGTCTGACTCCAAAGGCTGGTGATTTTTCATTGTGCCTCTCTGAGGTGATTACTGTAGATTATATATTTATATATAATATAAATATATATATTATATATATATAAAATTTTAATTGGAGGCTAATTACAATATTGTATTGGTTTTGCCATACATTGACATGAATCCGCCATGGGTGTACATGTGTTCCCCATCCTGAACCCCCCTCCCACCTATTTTATTAATATTAATAAGTATTATTTATTCTACCTTTTGCTTAACTGGAGAGAACAGCAAAAGAACATTTTGGTGGTTACTTCAAACAAAATTTGAAGGCTTGAATTTTTTTCTAGAAGTTCATTTGTATTTTAATTAATACTGTCCTCATAGCTGTAGTTAATCTTAAAAAACACCATGTTTCTATATACCTCTAATAGTATGCTATAACCTTATTTGAAAAGCAGGAATTCTAGTACAATCTTTTTGTTGGTGAGATCCAGTGATACTACCCTTTGACCCAGTGAATTAATGTCAGCAGGGCCAGAACTTCAGCCTACTGATGACTTTTCTCCTACTGATTACCTTTCTCCCAACATTTTATTTCAAATGTACAGAGGAACTGAAAGAATTGTAAACGCCCATAAACCTAAGACTCTACAATTGCCAATTCATCCATCCATCAACCCGATTGTACGAGTATTTTCTACCAGACTCTTTCCAGGATCTCTCCCCATTTATTTCAGTCATTAATCCAGAAAATGAATGGGGAAATGCCAGTAGCCAAATAAATACTTGAGTACCTGCTATATGCTTAGGACATAATGGAGGCAATATAACACTTACGTCCTAAAGGAATTTACAACCGAGTTAAGGAAAGCAGTACATAACAACTTACAAGTATATAAGGTAGAACTGAACAAAGATGTGCTTCCTGGTTTAATATAGAGTTAGGAATTATTGATAAAACACTGCAAAGGTTTAGGCTTAAGTATAGCAAATTCACTTTTAACCTCCAGAAAACATCTATGCTGGTATATAGAAATTATAATCATGTCATAAATGAGTTCAGTGTCTTTAGTTCAGTGTTTCCAGCTTCCCTTATTTTCCTTTTTATGTGTAAAACTTCCTTCTAATACATGATACAAAAGTCAAAAAGGGGCACACAATGAGAAGGCCCCTTCGTACCCGAGTTCCCTAGCTGCCAGTTTCCCTTCTTGGAAGCAATCAATCACTGTTAAGACTGGTTTCCTTCAATCTAGAGCTACTTAATGCATATACAACAGGTATGTGTGTGTGTGTGGGTTATGTATGGTGGTATGTTACACACTGCTTTCCTGACTAGTTTTTTTTCCTTACCTCTTGAGTACTTCTCTTCACTCTGGACCCCTTAGGCCACATCTTCCATTCCCTGAATTCTGACTGTATCCCTATATTCTTATTCCAATTAAAGACACTTGGTTCCTACTTGTAGAAGGAAGAATTTAGGATGACAGTTACCTAATTTACTATAGTACATCTTTTAAAAAATTCCACCTAGAAGTGCTTCTGCCTGATGTCATTCTTGATGCTGGAATGGGCCAATGTAATTAGGAAAGGGAGATCTGCAAGATAAAGCAGTCTTTATCTGAAAGAGTAAACCACCCACTGGCTGGCTCAGTTAAATGTATAAATTCCCATTAAAGACAGCATGTGTAAATGGGAAGGAAATTTTAAAAAGGGGGTATATATATATATATATATCTGATTCATTGCTGTGCAGCAGAAACTAACACAACATTGTAAAGCAACTATATTCCAATAAAAGTAATTTAAAAAGAGCATGTTATGTTATTAACAGATTTAAACCCATATTTTCTTTCATATTTATTTTGGTTTCATTATGACGAGTCACATGCTGATTCCAAATAAAAGCAAGCTATTCCTTGATTTATAATTCACTCATCCATTAAGCAAATCTTGTCTTTTGGATTTCAGAATTAATGGGCCTTGTTCATCCTCTTTGAATCCCTTAAATAAAATATGAGAAATAAGTTCAAGTTTTTATTAATAATCTTAGAACAAATATGTTAACAATTCCTCAGTTATATAGCATTTTTACAATTCTGAAAGAACTTTGACATATACCAATTAAACCCTCACAACATCCCTGTGAGGTAGGCAGGGTTGGTGTCAGTTTCCTATTACTAGTGAGAACAAGGCTCATGGGTGAAATAAGGTCACACAGTTGGTTAGTGATGGAGCCAGGACTAGAACCTAGGCCTTTGACATGCTGCCTCCCTGAGAACATTCAAGTAATGACATCCTACGCTACATAATGAACATTTCTCCTATGATGATCAGATCTATTTTTATAAGTTTGATATCACCTTTTCCTATTATCCAAAATCAGTGAATCACAGTTTTGATGAGACATTTCTTCCATGTTACTGGACTATTTTTCTTTGATGTATCAAGCACCATCCTAAGATGAAACTTAACCTGCGTCTTAAGTTTTGAGGATCTTTGGCTATAAGTTCTAAATTGTGATATGAAAGTTTATTTTAGAAGTTTTACAAAAGTATTTGCATGTTGAATATGTCAACTTACTTAACAAAAACAACACAAGCCTGTTTATGTTTTTGAAGGCTTTGTAGTTTTTCCCAATAAGGCGTTTAGATGTGTACAAGTGGAAAATAGGGAAAGGTATTTGGCAATATTATTGGAAAGCCTATACAGAGTACACCTAAATGCAAGTCACATCACACTAATTTGTTTGCTTTGGCCTTCTATAGGAAGGAAAACCCTTAGAAAACTTTCAGGTGTGATCCCATCTTATGTGTGACATTCTCAGCAACAAGCTGAAAATTGATCTGCATTATACCAATAGTAGGGTTCAAGCAGTAGTGATCAAAACATATATGCAGGTGGTAAAAAGGAAGAAAACATTTGCTCTTCAGTGGTTTTGCCTAGGTCCAGTGTAAATATACTTATCAAGGCAGATTTTAAGCTATACCATCTTCTGTGTTAAATTTTGAAATGTGAAATACGGTGGAGTTATCAACTTGGAATATAAGGTTGAAACTGAATATAACTGACACAGAAACTACCTGTCAAAAGCAGAGGAATGCTCAAAGGGCATAAAAGGCAAGGGATAAAACAACTGCTCTGATATGGAGAGAAAAACAGCAAATGTAAATCTTCCAGTTAAAGTAAACCACAGACCATTAGGCATGTGAAGCAGGTTTTAAAAATGACACAACTATATTATCAGGAGTTATATTCCTAACAGTCCAGTTTTAAAGAGTAATAGGGAGAAACCTAAGCCTGTGGAGAGGAGGTAGTGCAGAAAATGAATAGAATGTAGAAATGGGGCTGAGGAGGTGGGAGGTTACAGTTTAAATATATTCAAAATGAATTCAGAATCCGTTTAAATCTATCCCCTCCAAAAAATGTTTGCTAAATTAAGAGATTTGGTCAAAAAAGCATGTGATGGCAGAAGTGACTATTTTATCTTCAAAAGAAGTATTTAAATATAGATTAGAAATTAGGCTATTAAAGATTAGTCCATTGATCAGGCTTAGAAACTGAAACTTAAGTGCTACCTCAGATACATTGCAGAAAGCTGTTTCCAAAAACAGAATTACTGTAGCAGGAGTCAACATGAATGAAACCATTAAAAAACAAGCACTTAGCTTTATACTTTAAGCCTAGTGAAAAAACATTGGTACCCTTAAGAAATCTAATAGTTTAAACAAACGTGAAAAATACTGCAGCTACATTTAAGTTTTCTAAGATAAAACTTGAGATCAAGAATGTTCTAGTTTGGTATATGGATTCAGAACCAACTACAAGTTTGAAATGCATAGAGACTACATTGTATTTCTTACATAGTATCATTGTCATCATCATCTTCATGTTTTCTCTTCAGTGGGTTTGATTCATTGGCTGTGTTCTGTGATGAAACCATGTTGGTGGTAATAAGGATATTTTTGGGCCCAATCATTGAAGGATTAAGCAGAACATTCTGAACTGCAGTTGTTGCAGGAACTGTAAACAGAGGAGAAAACACACCCCAACTATGAACTACATAGAATCAGAAACATACGGCAAAAAGTATTCAACAAAGCTGAATGCAATTCTCATAATAATTTCTTTTTTTAAAAAGGTTTTAAAAATAATATTTCTTAAAAGTTAATGTGCATAAAAGAAAATAAAAAAACACAAGACACAAAAAACCAAAGTCATCCATAATCACAAGCGGTTTACTGTTTGTGTCCTAGGTCTCATTTGTGTATCTACAAAATTAAGCATCCACTTTTATGTAATTAAGATACTACAGTTATGTATATGTTTCTTCATATATCATGAATGTTCACCATTTCAGCATCCAAAAGCTATGAGTATTTTGATAACCAAGAATATACTACACCAACTCAATCTGGAAGGGAAAAATGTAATCCTGCTTTTCTTGGTGACAAAAATTTCATAAAAGATAAAGATGGCAACAGGCCTCGAGATAAAGATATTGGCAGAGTTATGATTAAAATACTACCTTCCCTTAATGTTCAATTAAAAAATGAGACCCAGAGCAATAGAGTACACAAAGTATAATGCTTCTAAGAGTAACAAGTATTCCACAAAGCTGAATGTAATTCTAATAATAATTTTAATAGCATGAAGTAAAATAAATAAATAATTTTTAAAAAGCATGAAATAAAACTATCATAGAAGAAACTGAGGTGGTATACTGCATTAAGAGTTAAACTACATTTTTTAATGTTTCAAAGTACTTAATATCTAGTATAAGATTAAAGGAGTTCTGTTAGGGTTTTTTTTTTAATTTACCTACAATTTCAATTAGTACTTAGTCATGGGAAGCAGTAGACTGGATTCATCATGCAACATACTAAAGGCATATGTTCAAGATCAGGAATCATCCTTCCCTTACAGACCAATATTTTATATAAGTATTTTATGGTACACAGTTTCAGAAGATCTGAAATCTAAACTTATTCAAGAATAAACTATGTTAGAATTCTACTTATATTCAAACTTCCTATCTATACTTCCATGAATTGAATAAACATACAGTTTTCATTTGATATACACTAAGTTGTATTATTTTCTTGAGATTTAACACTATGTTGTTTGAGAATCTGAGGATCATGTTGAAATCTCTCCCTTCCCCCCAAAATGTTACATATGTAAAATTTCATACAATTTTAATGGGGTTATAGACCTCTGATGAACCCTGATTTGCAGCATTACTGCCGTCTTCCTGTTATGATAGTAAAACAATTCAATTATTGCTATGAGAATACAAACTGTTCAATAATGACAATCACTCACAAATTTTAAAATTCAGAAAAATTTGAAAGAACAACTTTCAACCCCCCATGCCCCACCCATCATGTTACCTGGTTTGACAGGTGTGGACTGAGAAGGTGGAATCTGCACTGTGAATCTTTGGCTTGTCACTGACACTGGAGGTGCAACTTTATTTGGGACAGATGCTGTTTGTGGGGTTGCTATAGTAATTAACAGACCATGTTAGTTAGATGACTTATTATATAGGTTCAATTTCTGCTTTCCTTTAGCTTACTAGAAATTACCTTCAAAACACATGGAGTTAATGGAAGGTGAGAAAAAAATCATTGGAAATAAGCACAAAGTAACTTCAAAAATGTTTACAAGTTCAATAGTTTAGATGCTAAAAATTTAGGATAGTATAGTGGTAAAGAATGTAGGCTCTGGAGCCTACCTGCTTGAGTTTGAATCCAGGCTTTATCACTGAGTGACCCTGGCAAGTTATTTAATCTGTTTGTGCCTCAGTTTTCTTATCTGTCAAATGGGGATAACAATACTTATTTCATAGGATTCTAGTGAGAATTGAATAATCCCTGTAAAACTCTTCACACAGCATTTGGCACTGAATTAGCTACAAGAATTTGTGAAGTTGAACATTTAAATAAACTGCAGAATTAAAGGCCCAAGTTTTCTATTAATTACCTTATATGGCACTTTACTCTGTCATTTGTTGGGTATAAGAAGGTGTCTATTATGCCCATGAAGCTAAATCAACATGCATCTAACAAAAGCCTAACACACCTCCATCTCTAGGCAAGTTTTCCCATGTACTGAGGAGTGGCACGAAGAGTTTGGTGATGGATAATGAAGCAATATTTCATTTTGTCAGGAAAATTCACAGAAGGTGAATGTTTCTTTGTCCGTTACAGATTATAAAATCTCTAAAACATGTACAATAAATGTCTAGGAATAAAAATCACAACTGATAACTAAAACTGGTTAACTTGCCAACACATGTAACTGATCACCACAGCCTAGAGTTTTTAAAAAGTTGATATTCACTTTAGTAATATGAACCAACAGATGAACAGTATATGATCAAAAAGTTACAGAAATTATATATGCAAACTCCTGCCTATAAAGGACATGCATATAATTAGAAGTGTACAATTAATACTGTACCAGGCTGGTTTTAAATGCCGAAATGTGAATTCACACCTTGAAAATATGAAAGATTGTCTACACATCTCAAAAATCAAATGCTGCTTACCCTAGAGCTATACAGCATCTATAGGATTCAAGTTATAAGCAATAAAAACCAAGAAATCATTACTGGTCAAAGAGAAGGGGATTCTTTTTTCTGAAAAGACTTTGACTATGAAAGAAATCCAGCAGGAATATAGAACAAAAAACCCCCAGGAAATCTAGATCCATTATTTATGTGTTTCTTATTATCTAAATAACAATGACATTATGGTTTCTAAATACCATTCTCTACTAAAAGGAATGAGGGTTCTTTGAAGAAAGGATGATTCTGGGACTGGAGTAAAGGAAATATAAGATGAGCTTGGAACATCTTGTGTCAGAAAGCAAGAAATGCTCAAAGAATGATGGAGACCTGTTAAAAATGACATAGGAGACAGTTTGAAGGGGTGCTCACTGACCAATACAGGATAATAGTACTACTTTTGAAAAGGTTACATTAAAAATAATTTTCTTTGATATTCTTAGGGCTTCCCTTGTGGCTCAGCTGGTAAAGAATCAGACTGTAATGTGAGAGACCTGGGTTTGATCCCTGGGAGAAGGGAAAGGCTACCCACTCCAGTATTCTGGCCTGGAGAATTCTATGGACTTTATAGTCCATGGGGTTGCAAAGGGTTGGACATGACTGAGCTTTGTGTATTTTAAACTTCTTTTGATTGCATCTCTTGCCAATTTACTCAGTAATTTAATTTCTGATAATAGGTAGGCTATTGCCATGAGTGAGTTTGGCAATTTCATTTGTATAAAAGCAAGAAAGAAAAAAGCTGGCTTTTGTATAAAAGCCAGCTTAAACTTTTGTTATTGGTACCACAGTTAGTACATACAATAATGTTGAGTAACATCCAATTCTATCCTCATTTGGGATCAGATATTCCTTGTGGCTGTCTCATTTTGAAATCTGATAAAATATATGTTTACAGCTATATTAGAGGATGAGTAAAAGTATTAATGGCAACACATATGGGAATTTCTGACCCCATTTTTGACTTGGACTGTAGTTCAAAATCAAGTGCTGGGGCAGTTCTTCTTTACCAGCCAGAAAAGCCATTTCTCTCTCTCACTTACCTATGCTTGGAGTGGTGGGTCTGCTACTAACAGCTCCAACACTTAACCGTGGAACTAGTCGTCCTTGGTTAGGTCCCTAGGGGATTTAAAACACAAATTAGTTTTAATGTTGTTCAGACTTGACACCTAAACTTACCAGGAAATGAAATTAGGATTTTTGATGTGAATTATCAATGGATAACTGATGGCAAGAATGCCTTTTTGTTCAGTGTTCTAATGCAACATTTAAACTAGGGATTTCACAAATACATATACACACACACATACACACCTGCACACTCACATAAACACAAGTAATAGAAACAATACATATCTATATCAACATGGATATGAATATATATATATATAAAATATATAATTCTATATACTTTTAAAGTTTGAAGTAGAGTCTTATTTGGATATAACAGCTAACTTCCTTATGATTTTTGAATCTTAACTAGTTAATATCTTAACCCAAAAAGAAGGAAACTCCTTATAGTGGAATTTCAGAGGTACAAATGTAGCCCAACATGGGGAGAACTTTCACAGTGGTGGGAAAGCCTTAGGGCATATTTTGGAAAGTAAGTCCAGTGCCTGATGATTTATCATTTACTCTGTTATGGTGTAGTGTAAAGACTGGGAGTTATGAGACCTGGGAATAAGTACAAAAAAGATCTTCATGACCCAGATAATCACAATGGTGTGATCACTCACCTAGAGCCAGACATCCTGGAATGTGAAGTCAAGTGGGCCTTAGGAACATCACTACGAACAAAGCTAGTAGAGGTGACGTAATACCAGTTGAGCTATTTCAAATCCTGAAAGATGACGCTGTGAAAGTGCTGCACTCAATATGCCAGCAAATTTGGAAAACTCAGCAGTGGCCACAAGACTGGAAAAGGTCAGTTTTCATTCTAATTCCAAAGAAAGGCAATGCCAAAGAATGCTCAAACTACCGCACAATTGCACTCATCTCACACGCTAGTAAAGTAATGCTCAAAATTCTCCAAGCCAGGCTTCAGCAATACGTGAACTGAGAACTTCCAGATGTTCAAGCTGGTTTTAGAAAAGGCAGAGAAACCAGAGATCAAATTGCCAACATCTGCTGGATCATCGAACAAGCAAGAGAGTTCCAGAAAAACATCTATTTCTGCTTTACTGACTATGCCAAAGCCTTTGACTGTGTGGATCACAATAAACTGTGGAAAAGTCTTAAAGATATGGGAATACCAGACCACCTGACCTGCCTCTTGAGAAACCTGTATGCAGGTCAGGAAGCAACAGTTAGAACTGGACATGGAACAACAGACTGGTTCCAAATAGGAAAAGGAGTACGTCAAGGTTGTATATTGTCACTCTGCTTATTTAACTTATATGCAGAGTACATCATGAGAAAGCCTGGGCTGGAAGAAGCACAAGCTGGAATCAAGATTGCCTGGAGAAATATCAACAATCTCAGGTATGCAGATGACACCACCCTTATGGCAGAAAGTGGAGAGGAACTAAAAAACCTCTTGATGAAAGTGAAAGAGGAGAGTGAAAAAGTTGGCTTAAAACCCAACATTCTGAAAACTAAGATCATGGCATGCGGTCCCATCACTTCATGGGAAATAGATGGGGAAACAATGGAAACAGTGGCTAACTTTATTTTACTGGGCTCCAAAATCACTGCAGATGGTGACTGAAGCCATGAAATTAAAAGACACTTACTCCTTGGAAGGAAAGTTATGACCAACCAAGACAGCATATTAAAAAGCAGAGACATCACTTTGCCAATAAAGGTCCATCTAGTCAAGGCTATGATTTTTCCAGTGGTCATGTATGGATGTGAGAGTTGGACCATAAAGAAAGCTGAGCACAGAAGAATTGATGCTTTTGAACTGTGGTGTTGGAGAAGACTCTTGAGAGTCCCTTGGACTGCAAAGAGATCCAACCAGTCTGTCCTGAAGGAGATCAGTCCTGGGTGTTCACTGGAGGGACTGATGTTGAAGCTGAAACTCCAGTATTTTTGCCACCTGATGTGAAGAGCTGACTCATTGGAAAAGATCCTGATGCTGGGAAAGATTGAGGGCAGGAGGAGAAGGGGATGACAGAGGATGGGATGGTTGGATGGCATCACCATGGGCATGAGTTTGAGTGAACTCCCGGAGTTGGTGATGGACAGGGAGGCCTGGCGTGCTGCGACTCATGGGGTCCAAAGAGTCGGACATGACTGAGCGACTGAACTCAACTTCAAAAATGTTCACAAGTTCAATAGTTTAGATGCTAAAAATTTAGGATAGTATAGTGGTAAAGAATGTAGGCTCTGGAGCCTACCTGCTTGAGTTTGAATCCAGGCTTTATCACTGAGTGACCCTGGCAAGTTATTTAATCTGTTTGTGCCTCAGTTTTCTTATCTGTCAAATGGGGATAACAATACTTATTTCATAGGATTCTTGTGAGAATTGAATAATCCCTGTAAAACTCTTCACACAGCATTTGGCACTGAATTTTAGCTACAAGAATTTGTGAAGTTGAACATTTAAATAAACTGCAGAATTAAAGGCCCAAGTTTTCTTTTTTTAAATTTTTATTTATTAAAAAAAAATTTATTTTAATTGGAGGCTAATTACTTTACAATATTGTAGTGGTTTTGCCATACACTGACATTAATCATTCATGGGTGTACATGTGCTCCCCATCCTGAACTCCCCTCCCAGCTCCCTCCCCATCCCATCCCTCTGGGTCACCCCAGTGATGACCCAAGTTTTCTATTAATTACCTTATACAGTATTTTATTTTCTATTATATTTCTATTATATTATTTTCTATAATATTTTCTACTATATACCTTATAAAGTATTATATATGGCACTTTAATCTCTGTCATTTGTTGGGTATAAGAAGGTGTCTATTATGCCCATGAAGCTAAATTAACATGCATCTAACAAAAGCCTAACATACCTCCATCTTAGGCAAGTTTCCCCATGTATTGAGGAGTGGCACAAACAGTTTGGTGATGGATAATGAAGCAATATTTCATTTTGTCAGGAAAATTCACAGCAAGTGAATGTTTCCTTGTCCGGAAACATAAGGAAATTGTTAACATTTAAGTAAGCATGAAGTTTAGGCTTTAAAACTGAACAGAGTATATGCTTAGGTCTCACACTTTAGAAAACTCATTTAACTTTTAAAAAAGATTTTAAACTTCCATTTTTAATAATGGTTTTCAGTAGCTCCCTCATTCTAGATTATAAATTTAGTATTTAACTTATCTTAGCCTTTAATTTCCTGCACTATTTACAGGAATTTGCTCTCTACAAATTCCCTTAACACATCTTACCCTTTTAAAAAGCTAAGATGACTAAAAATTCTTACCTTTTTAATTAAGGACTTTAGCCTATAGTTTGGAGCTGTCAAGCAGTATCTGTCAGGTGGCAGTCTGGGTCCTGCATATGGCTTAATCAGCGGTAAAGGGGTTTGATTTTTCTGCCTTGCGATATCCAGTAAAAACTAAAAAAAAAATGCTTATTAGAACAACAATTAAAAACCATAAGTAAAATGAACTTCAAATAAAAGTTTGCTCACATCTCTTGGGGGAGGGGAGGTAAAAGATTGGTCAGCCCGACATTGGATTGCCAGTCTCACATCATCTGCATCAACGTTAGGTTTCTTAGCATGGCTTGAATAAATTTTTGCATCATCCAGAATTGAAGTCACGTATCCTTTAAGAACAAAACATTATTTTTTAAACATATGAAAATAGCTTAATATTTATGGCCACTTTTCTTAATAAAAAGTTTCACTAATTTCCAGAAAGTTTATGAATTTTGGTTTTAATGTCTAATTGTTCTATCTATATGATCAACTTTAAACAGATGATCACAATATAAATACTGTTCCAGAGTGTGAGCTCCTTTTTATTGCTTTCTGAATTTTATGACATTTTTTTCACATACTTTAAAACTTAATTTTTGTTGAGTAGTTTTAGGTTCACAGCAAAATTTAGGATAATATAGAGATTTCCCATATACTCCCTGCAGCCATACATGCATAGCATCCCTATTATCAATATTCCTTGCAGAGTGGCACATCTGTTACAACTGATAGACCTACAGTGACCTATCATAATCACTTGTCTGTTGTTGTTTAGTAGCCAAGTCATGTCCGACTCTTAATCGATAGTTTATATTATGGTTCTCTCTTGGAACTCGACATTCTGTGGGTTTGGATAAGTGTGTATAATGACATGTGATGACGTTAACTGTTAAAAGTAATTTTGTTGAAAATGTTCTTACAATGAACGATTTTTCAAATTCAAAAGTTAGGCAAATTTTTGACGTTAACTTACGGAAAGCAAATTCCAACATTTGATTTATAACCCTTGGTTCGTACTCTGTAATTCCCATATCCTTCAGAATCTGTGCCATCACCTGTGGATTCAAATATAAATGTCAGATGCTTAACCGAGGTATAGAAATCAAGGCTGGACCGAAGCTAATAATTATAATTTGTAATACAAGGTCCCCCTTCTCTGGGTTCCAAATTTGTACTCATCCTTTTCCTCTCAAGCAAGTGTCATGCATGCATGCTAAGTCGCTTCGGTCCTTGCGACCCCATGGACTGTAGCCCGCCAGGCTTCTGGGTTAGTGGGATTCTTCCAGCAAGAATACGGGAGTGGTTTGCCATGCCCTCCTCCAGTGTTCTCTTAACTTGTGAAGCCCCACAAAGATCACACCAAATGCCCTCGGAGTCCTCTTTGCTGAAAACTTTTTTTTTGGTGGGGGTGCGGGCCGGGGCAAAGAGAAGAAAAAGTCCCGAGTTGGCTTTCCCTCCCTAGGTAGAGGTGGCTACAGCTGGTTGTCATTTTCAGATGTGGCTACCGGGGAAACTTAGTATCAAAACCCTGGACGTACGAGTCAGGATTCGCAGACGGGGAGGGACGGCTAGGTGCCGGGGCCCAAGGTCCAGGAGATAAAGATGGGCCGCCGGCCTGCGCATTCGGAGGGCGCCAGCCTCCCTCCAGCCGGGCCGCCAGGGTGGCGGGAGAGAGCCCCGGGGTCCAGGGCACGCCAGTCTACTCCTGGCGGCCGTGGCAGGACTGAACTCGGCCTGCAAGCCTATCACCAGGTTTTTCGCCCGGGCCCACCTCTCGGGCCCGGATATGGCCGCACGGAGCCGCGCACCCCGCCGCGCATCCTTCGCACTCACCAAGGCATCTCTCGGAGCGTTCTTGGGAGGCGCCATCTTGCCCGACTCCATGTTATCCTGCGCTCGTCATCCGGTGGAGAGAACGCTGCTCTCGGGTTCCTCGCTCAGGCCCCTCCCCTGCGGGCGCGGAAGGCGGGCTTACCGCGCTGGCTCTTGCTCCGCGGGCGGCTGTTCCCTCGCCTCCTCCCCTCCCTCGGCGGCAGAGGGCGGCCGGGCTTGCGGGGAGTCCACGGCGCAGGAGCCTTGAAAAGTCAGGGAAGCCTTCCCCGAACAGCCCTTGGCCAACGCTTGGAAGAACCGATAAGTTCGCCTTCCCAGAGTTATTCCCCGGAGAAGCGCACAATATGGCCACCCTTGACTTTTCTGGGGCCCCTCCTTACCTCCTCTGCCGCCACCCTGGCCCCTTAATCTCCCTGAAAAGTCTGCAGACGCCCTGCCTCCACCAGCCTCTGTGGTAGGGCTGCCTGGTCAAATGCAGAAAACCCAGTTAAATTTGAATCAACGACAACACATTTTTAGCGTCCCCTATTTTTATTTGCTAGATCTGGCAACTCTAACCTAGCGCCTGCTCTACACTCAGCGGGCATTTGGTCAGCTGTTGGCAGGCTCAAAGCCCTGTCATTTATTTTTTCTTTTTCCTTTAAAAATTAATTTATTTTAATTGGCGGCTAATTACAATATCGTGGTGGTTTTTGCCATACATCGACATGAACCAGCCATGGGTGCACATGTCCCCCCATCCTGAACCTTCCTCCCACCTCCCTACCCACCCCATCTCTCTGGGTTGTCCCAGAGCACAGGTTTTGAGTGCCTTGGTTCATGTATTGAACTTGCACTGGTCATCTGTTTTACGTATGATAATATACATGTTTCAATGCTATTGTTTCAAATAATCACACCCTCGCCTTTTCCCACAGAGTTCTAAAGTCTCTTCTTTACATCTATGTCTCTTTTGCTGTCTTGCATATAGGGTCGTCATATAGGGTCGTCATATAAGGTTGTCATTGCCGTCTTTCTAAATTCCACATATATGCGTTAATATACCATATTGGTGGTTTTTTTCCCCTGACTTACTTCGCTCTGTATAATAGGCTCCAGTTCCATCCACCGCATTAGAACTGATTCAAATGCATTCTTTTTAATTACTGAATAATATTCTATATTGTGTATACGTACCACAGCTTTCTTATCCATTATCTGTCGGTGGACATCTAGGTTGCTTTCATGTCCTGGCTATTGTAAACTGTGTTGTGATGAACATTGGGGTACATGTGTCTCTTTCAGTTCTGGTTTCCTCGGTGTTTATGCCCAGCAGTGGGATTGCTGGGTCATATGGCAGTTCTATTTCCAGGTTGTTTTTCTTTTTCATTTATTTTTATTAGTTGGAGGCTAATTACTTTACAATATTGTAGTGGTTTTTGTAATACATTGACATGAATCAGCCATGGATTTACAAGTATTCCCCATCCTGATCCCCCCTCCCACCTCCCTCTCCACCTGATTCCTCTGGGTCTTCCCAGTGCACCATCCCTGAGCACTTGTCTCATGCATCCAGCCTGGGCTGGTGATCTGTTTCACCCTAGATAATATACGTTTCAATGCTGTTCTCTCAGATCATCCCACCCTCGCCTTCTCCCAGAGTCCAAAATTCTGTTCTGTACATCTGTGCCTCTTTTTCTGTTTTGCATATAGGGTTATCGTTACCATCTTTCTAAATTCCATATATATGCATTAGTATACTGTTATTGGTCTTTATCTTTCTGACTTACTTCACTCTGTATAATGGGCTCCAGTTTCATCCATCTCATTAGAACTGATTCAAATGAATTCTTTTTAATGGCTGAGTAATATTCCATGGGGTATACGTACCACAGCTTCCTTATACATTCATCTGCTGATGGGCACCTAGGTTGCTTCCATGTCCTGTCTATTATAAACAGTGCTGCGATGAACAATGGGGTGCACGTGTCTCTTTCAGATCTGGTTTCCTCGGTGTGTATGCCCAGAAGTGGGATTGCTGGGTCATATGGCAGTTCTATTTCCAGTTTTTCAAGGAATCTCCACACTGTTTTCCATAGCGGCTGTACTAGTTTGCATTCCCACCAACAGTGTAAGAGGGTTCCCTTTTCTCCACACCCTCTCCAGCATTTATTGCTTGTAGACTTTTGGATAGCAGCCATCCTGACTGGCGTATAATGGTACCTCATTGTGGTTTTGATTTGCATTTCTCTGATGATGAGTAATGTTGAGCATCTTTTCATGTATTTGATAGCCATCTGTATGTCTTCTTTGGAGAAATGTCTGTTTAGTTCTTTGGCCCATTTTTTGATTGGGTCGCTTATTTTTCTGGAATTGAGCTGCAGGAGTTGCGTGCATATTTTTGAGATTAATTCTTTGTCAGTTGCTTCATTTGCTATTATTTTCTGCCAATCTGAGGGCTGTCTTTTCACCTTGCTTATAGTTTCCTTTGTTGTGCAAAAGCTTTAAAAATTTTTTTTATTTATTTTTAATTTACTTATTTTAATTGGAGGCTAATTACTTTACAATATTGTAGTGGTTTTGCCATATAGAAATGCAAGAAATTTCTGTGTATTAATTTTATATCCTGCAAGTTTACTGTAGTGATTGATTACCTCTAGTAATTTTCTGGTGCTATCTTTAGAGTTTTCTATGTAGAAATGCATTTCTTTTCTTTTTTTTTAATAGCAGTAAGGAGAATTCTGTCTGCTCCCAGTGGCTTCACCAGGTTACCTTTTTTTGTTTGTTTGTTTTCATTTATTTTTATTAGTTGGAGGCTAATTACTTTACAATGTTGTAGTGGGTTTTGTCATACATTGACATAAATCAGCCATGGTTTTACATGTATTTCCCATCCCGATCCCCCCTCCCACCTCCCTCTCCACCCGATCCCTCTGGGTCTTCCCAGTGCACCAGGCCCGAGCACTTGTGTCATGCATCCCACCTGGGCTGGTGATCTGTTTCACCCTAGATAATATACATGTTTCGATGCTGTTCTCTTGAAACATCCCACCCTCGCCTTCTCCCACAGAGTCCAAAAGTCTGTTCTGTACATCTGTGTCTCTTTTTCTGTTTTGCATATAGGGTTATCATTACCATCTTTCTAAATTCCATATGTATGTGTTAGTATACTGTAATGGTCTTTATCTTTCTGGCTTACTTCACTCTGTATAATGGGCTCCAGTTTTACCCATCTCATTAGAACTGATTCAAATGAATTCTTTTTAATGGCTGAGTAATATTCCATGGGGTATATGTACCACCCATTCGTCTGCTGATGGGCATCTAGGTTGCTTCCATGTCCTGGCTATTATAAACAGTGCTGCGATGAACATTGGGGTGCACGTGTCTCTTTCAGATCTGGTTTCCTCGGTGTGTATGCCCAGAAGTGGGATTGCTGGGTCATATGGCAGTTCTATTTCCAGCTTTTTAAGAAATCTCCACACTGTTTTCCATAGTGGCTGTACTAATTTGCATTCCCACCAACAGTGTAAGAGGGTTCCCTTTTTTCCACACCCTCTCCAGCATTTATTGCTTGTAGGCTTTTGGATAGCAGCCATCCTAACTGGCATGTAATGGTACCTCATTGTGGTTTTGATTTGCAAGAAATGCATTTCTATGCATTTCTATGCAATGCATGCAGATTCTTTACTGTCTGAGCCACCAGGGAAGCCCAGTGATATAGCAAGGTTGTTTGTAAATAACATTTTGAGGTGTAATTTACATAACATAAGATTAACTCATTTTAAGCATATAGTTCAATGTTTTTTAAAGTTTATTTTATTGAAGTATAGCTGATTTACAATATTGTGTTAGTTTCTGATGTACATCAAAGTGATTCAGTTATACATATACATACATATATATATATATATATTCTTTTTCATATTCTTCTCCATTATGGTTTTTCACAGGATATTGAATCTAGTTCTATGTGTTCTACAGTAAGACCTTGTTGCTTATTCATTCTATATATAAGACTTTGCATCAGCTAATCTCAAACTCTCTTATTTTTTTCATTTATTAATATTAGTTGGAAGCTAATTACTTTACAATATTGTAGTGGTTTTTGCCATACATTGACATGAATCAGCCATGGATTTACATGTGTTCCCCATCCCAATCCCCCCTCCCACCTCCCTCTCCACCCGATCCCTCTGGCTCTTCCCAGTGCACCAGCCCTGAGCACTTGTCTCATTCATCCAACCTGGGCTGGTGGTCTGTTTCACCCTTGATAGTATACTTGTTTCAAAGCTATTCTCTCAGAACATCCCACCATCGCCTTCTCCCACAGAGTCCAAAAGTCTGTTCTGTACATCTGTGACTCTTTTTCTGTCTTGCATATAGGGTTATTGTTACCATCTTTCTAAAATCCATATATATGCGTTAGTATACTGTATTGGTGTTTTTCTTTCTGGCTTACTTCACTCTGTATAATGGGCTCCAGTTTCATCCACCTCATTAGAACTGATTCAGATGTATTCTTTTTAATGGCTGAGTAATATTCCATTGTGTATATGTACCACAGCTTTCTTATCCATTCGTCTGCTGATGGGCATCTAGGTTGCTTCCATGTCCTGGCTATTATAAACAGTGCTGTGATGAACATTGGGGTACACATGTCTCTTTCAGTTCTGGTTTTAATCTCAAACTCTCAATCCATCCATACCCCATCCAATTCAGTAATTTTTAATAAACTTACCAAGTTATGCAGTTATCACCTTAATACAATTTTGGAACAGTTCCATCACCCTAGTAAGATCTGTTGTGCCTGTTTATAGTTAACCTAGAAAGGTGGTTTTAATCTAAATCTGGCACATGTATTAAAGGGGAAGCAGTGCATATCTTTGGGACAAACGTGGGAACCCCCAAGGGGCATGAACATATGCTTGAGTTGGTTGTTGACATCATCTGAGTTCTACCAAGAACTACTTTTCATGAGCTTTTCTTTGCTCACATCTTGGCTGATTATGTGCTTTAAGAAGAAAGCCATTCACTGATGGAATCTCTTCACAGTTCTAATTTCTCAGGTAGTGAGCAGTAAACAGTTCTTAGACAATCAAGAAGCAGTTATAGGCTTGCTGCATGGATAAGAAAGTAGCTGAAATATTATGGAGATTTTTGGATTTTCAGTGGTATAGAAGAAAGAAGAAAAAAATAGGCAAGGCAAATCTGGTGTCCCCTAAAGAATAGGGACTCCAGTGAATTGGACCCAAGATGGTACCTATTAGGTGTCTACTGTTCTTTGTGACTCTGCCTAATTGCTATTTGTCTACCTCTATGTGAAATTATTGACTTAATCTGCCTGAGTTTATTATAGTTGATGTATCAGGATAGACTCTTGAATGTGAAAAGAACTTTAAAGATCATCTACCTGCAAGTTTTATTTATTAATATTTTACACAGTTGATTCCTACAGAGGGGAAAAGGTTTTCTTTTTTTCCCTTTTTAAAATTCAATTATAGGGACTTCCCTGGTGGTCCAGTGGTTAAGACTTTGCCTTCCAATGCAGGGGGTGCAGGTTTGATCCCTGGTTAGGGAGCTAAGATACCACATGCCTTGTGGCCAAAACACCAAAACATAAAACAGAAGCAGTGTTGTAACAAATTCAATAGAAACTTTAAAAACGACCCACATCAAAAAACTTAAAAAAAAATTCAGTTATAGTTCCACTGGATCACAAAGCGTCAAACATGACTGAAGTGACTTAGCATGCATGCATAGTTGAATTACAGTGTTGTGTTAATTACAACTGTACAGCAAAGTGACTCAGTTATACACATACATATGCATTATTTTTCATATTCTTTTCCATTATGGTTTATCAGAGGATACTGAATATAGTTCCCTGTGCTATACAGTAGGACCTTGTTGTTATTCTATTCTTTAAAAAAAATTAATTGGAGGATAATTGCTTTGCAATGTTATATTGGTTTCTGCTATACAACAATGCAAATCAGCTATAAGTATATGTATATCCCCTCCCTCTTGAGCCTTCCAACTCCCCATCCCACCCCTCTAGGTCATCACAGAGTACCAAGCTGAGCTCCCCGTGTTATACAGAATCTTCTTACTAGTTATCTATTTTACACATGGTAGTGTATATATGTCAGTGCTACTCTTTCAATTTATCTCACCCTCTCTTTCCCCCACTGTATCCACAAGTCCATTCTCTATGTCTGTGATTCTATTCCTGCCATGCAAATAAGTTCATCAGTACCATTATTCTAGACTCCATATATATGCATTAATTTACAATATTTGTTTTTCTCTTTCTGACTTACTTCACTCTATAATATGCTCTGGGTTCATCCACCTCAGTTCAAGTGACTGAAATTCATTCCTTTTTATGGCTGAGTAATATTCCATTGTATATATGTACCATAACTTCTTTATCTATTCATCTGACGATGGACATCTAGGTTGCTTCCATGTCCTGTTTATTGTAAACAGTGATGCAGTGAACATTGGGATCAGCTCAGTTCAGTCACTCAGTAGTGTCTGACTCTTTGTGACCCCATGGACTGCAGCACACCAGGCTTCTCTGTCCATCACCAACTCCTGGAGCTTGCTTAAACTTTTGTCCATCTACTTGGTGATGCCATCCAGCCATCTCATCCTCTGTCGTCCCCTTCTCCTCCTGCCTTCTATCTTTCCCAGCATCAGGGTCTTTTCCAAGGAGTCAGTTCTTCGCATCAGGTGGCCAAAGTATTGGAGTGTGTCAAAAAGACACATTGGGATGTATGTGTCTTTTTGAATTATGGGCTTCTCAGGGTCTGTGCCAAGGAGTGGAATTCCTGGTCATATGGTAGCTTTATTCCTATTTTTAATTTTTTTTTAAATTGGAGGACAATTGCTTTACAATATTGTGTTGGTTTCTGCCATACATCAATATTCCTAGTTTTAAAAGGAATCTCCATAGTGGTTTTATCAATTTACATTCCCACCAACAATGAAAGAGGGTTCCCTTTTTTCCACATCCTCTCCAGCATTTATTATTTGTAGATATTTTGATGATGGCCATTCTGGCCTGTGTGAGGTGATACCTCTTTGTAGTTTTTATTTGTGTTTCTCTAATAATGAGTGATGCTGAGCATATTTTCAAGTGTTTATTAGCCATCAGCATGTCTTCTTTGGAGAAATGTCTGTTTAGGTCTTCTGCCCTCTTTTTTATTGAGTTGTTCTTTTTTTATATTAAGCTGCATGAGCTGCTTGTGTATTTTGCAGATTAATCCTTTGTCAGTTGCTTTATTTCCAATCATTTTAGCCTATTCTGAGTGTTGTCTTTTCACCTTGTTTATAGTTTCCTTTGCTGTGCAAAAGCTTTTAAATTTAATTAGTTCTCATTTGTTTATTTTTGTTTTTATTTCCATTCCTCTAGGAGGTAGGTTAAAGAGGATCTTGCTGCAATTTGTTAAAGAGTGTTCTGCCTATGTTTTCCTCTAAGAGTTTTATAGTTTCTGGCCTTACATTTAAGTTTTTAATCCATTTGAGTTTATTTTTGTGGGTTTTCTTGAGGTCACATGATTTGTTAGTAGCAGAGATGAGACTAGAACCTTATTCTCCTGATATTTAGAATATACAATGCCCTAGAATTAGAAATAAGTCAGAAACAAGATTTATAAAACAACGTTGTAACAGCCAGTTAAAGACATCTTGATATATATGGAATCTAGAAAGATAGTACTGATGAACCTATCTGAAGGGCAGCAATAGAGATGCAGACAAAGAGAACAGAGTTGTGGACACAAGGTGGGAAGGAAAGGGTGGGAAGACTTGAGAGAGTAGCATTGAACAATATACATTACCACATGTAAAATTAGATATCCCGTGGGATTTTGCTGTATGATGCAGGGAGCCCAAGTTCAGTGCTCTGTGACAAGCCTGAGGGGTCAGATGGGGTGGGAGGTGGGAGGGAGGTTCAAGAGGGAGGGGACATATGTATACCTATGGCTGATTCATACTGATATATGGCAGAAACCAATAGAATATTGTAAAGCAATTATCCTTCAATTAAAATTAATAAATTAAAAAAAGACATCTTGAATTGGTTTTAATTTTTCTAGTTTCTTTGTGAGGAGGTAAATATGTAGCATCAAGGGGATAATTATTCCAAATAAATAAACTTGTACAAGTCCCATTTCAAAAATATCAGGGCAATAATTTTTAAAATTTTTTATTGTTATTTAAAATGTTTCCTATGATAGTAATACTTTAATAAGTGTAAATTTTAGGTTCTACATTAGTTTGATGAATGTAGGTATATGAAATATACAAGCTGCAAAACATTTACTTTTAGCAGATTAAAGTGTATTCAGTTTAATTATCAATCTCACAAGGTATTTTAAATTGAGAGAATTTTCCATTTTCCAATAAAAGCAAATTACTATATAGGTAAGATTTTACATACACCTTTAAAATATTTTCCAGTAGGTAAAATTTTAATGAAATATTTGCTTGTAGGCAAAGAAAGACTGATAAGATATATTTTTAAAATAGGCTTTAAAATATTATTTCTGTGGTGTATATAACAAGTTATTACATTAAAACTTTCATTTCTGGTATTCTCTAGAGTTAAAATATGAAGGTAATATTCTTTTAGAATGTGGATTAATATTGTATCACAATTTACTTTTGAAGAAAACTGTTTTATGTTTTTCATGTTTAAACAATATACCAAGCTCTAAACTGAACAGCAACCACCTAAATAAATTTTCTGTAACATACCATATATCAGTGAAATACCCAATGAAATAAATATCATTGGGCATGCCAAAATTAGCCCATGTGAAAATGGGCCAACTTATGGTTTTCATTTTTTAAATACAAAGAGCAAACTGAAATAGAGATAATATTTAAACATTTTCAATAAAGGTAAGAAATATTCTTTGGAGAGGGTGACATCTCCTTTGCAAGATGGCCAAAACAGCCCCTGAAAGATTGTGAGAATAGAGACAGATGCTTCATTTTAACTAGAAATAAATATGAATGTATCAATTTTGAGAATAAATCATTTAAATATTCCATGTAAAATATGAATAATCATATGTATCATGTTTAATTATTCCAGTTACAGAATAATCAGCACTGGGTGTATTTGAAAGAGCTTAGAATGGTGTAAAATGGCTTCCTACATCCCTACTTCTACTCCCAAAGTGATGTAAATTACTACTTTCCCACTATCAAAGTAATTATCAGAGCACAAGCCAACGAGCTGAGTATGTTACCTTGAAAAAATTACAGTACAGTACATAAAGTTGGTAGATACTTTTTATTATTTCATATGAATGTAAGTTGACATGTAGAATTGATTTTTACCACTTTGTTCTGTATAAAATTCTGAAATGCTTTTATCCTCTCATAACTCTTAAAACTTTGCAAAATATTCATTTGAAAAATTAAGACAGGGAATAGTTTTCAAGAGAGGTTTTAGGTCATTTTACATAATAGTGGAGTGTTGCTAAAATTTTCAGATTTAAAATACACCTGTTTTCTAAAAAAAATCTCTTCTACTGTCACAATGAATTTCTTTTTTTTTTTAATTAACAATGAATTTCTTGAAGGCAGTTCTTTTGATGTCAGATAAAAGTTCATAAGGATTTCTACCCAATAAGATTTACTTTTAAGAACTGAGATGCATCTAGCAATTTCTTTATTTAATGTAATTTGTTTTAGAACTTCCTAAAAAAGTTAAAAATGTGTAAAAATAGATTAGTTGATAAGGAGGTACTGAATCATAGCAGCACATTGAATGGCAATTAGTGCAAATCCTATCACAAGGATCAGAACAAAGGTATCATCACTCATCTCTATCTTGAGTTTTTCATGTTTCCCTTCACTAGGGCTGCTTCCCCTTTTTCTTCTAACATCTTTGCCAGGCCCTGGCTGTTGCTTATAGGTTGAGAAAAGAGCACTCGGGCTACAATGTCCCCAGAGCTCTTGTATCCCAGCAGAATTCTGATATTGACGTCCAGCGCAGACTTTGAAGCGGTAATGTGAATTTGTGAGAAAGTTGGAAAAGGAGAATGATGTGTTCGGTCCTTTGTAAATCTAAAAGAAAAAGAGTCAAAATTAAAATTACCTTTTCTTACAAAAAAAAAAAAAGGTTTTGACAACAGGAAACATTGCATGAATATGTTCACAACAAAAATAAAAGTTTACTGTTACAGTCTCTAATATCTTGAGAACCCAGTACTATTTAGGTGTAATTTTCTTCAATGTAACAAATAACAAAGACTTGTAACTGTTAAACTTTAAATTCCATTTGGTTTGGAATGGGTTGGGCATATGGTCAGTGGAATCTAAAAACAACTACATCCAATAATATTAAGTTAAATACATAAACAAATTGTTCCCATGTAAGTATTATGTACATAAATATTTAAGACCAGATAGGATTTTTGGATAAAATTTAGTTACTTTCAATATCATAAAAGAATATTGTACTCTTTGACAAAAGCTCAGTCCCCAGCAGGATGTAAAACTATAGATTACAATGACAAAATTTACAAGAATTTACCAGGTCAGTTCCTTTTCCACTGATGAGCTGAAGACTGTAAACTATGGAATCTCCGTTTATTGGCTCCAAAGATTCCCATTTGACCTCACAAGTATTGTTATTCAACTGGTGCAATTTAGGTGCTAGAAAAAGATAATTTCAGCTTAGATGGTTCCACTTTTCCTAAGTGGTCTTGAAAACATTGAAATCTCTCATACAGTTTTATAGGGTCACTAAAAGGCAACCCAGGTAAGATTAATCTAAATGATATATATTTATAGTTCTTACTGTAAAGACTTTTGCTGTATCACCAGCATCTTAATACTTGTAATAAAATCTTTAAGCACTTAAAATTGTCAATTAATAAAAATATTTTATTTTCTAGTAATATCTCTTACAACTTTAGAAGTGACAAACAGATTTAAGGGATTAGATCTGATAGACAGAGTGCCTTGAAGAACTATGGATGGAAGTTCATAACATTGTACAGGAGGAAGTGATCAAGACCATCCTCAAGGAAAAAAAATGTAAAAAGGCAAAAAGGTTGTCTGAGGAGGGAGGCCTTACAAATAGCTGAGAAAAGAATAGAAGCTGAAGGTAGGAGAAAAGGAAAGATATACCCATTTGAATGCAGAGTTCCAAAGAATAGCAAGGAGAGATAAGAAAGCCTTCCTCAGTGATCAATGCAAAGAAATAGGGGAAAACAATAGATGGGAAAGATGAGATCTCTTCAAGAAAATTAGAGATACCAAGGGAATATTTCATGCAAAGATGGGCACAATAAAGGGCAGAAATGGTATGGACCTAACAGAAGCAGAAGATATTAAGAAGAGGTGGCAACAACACATTGAAGAACTATACAAAAAAGATCTTCATGACCCAGATAATCACGATGGTGTGATCACTCACCTAGAGCCAGACATCCTGGAATGTGAAGTCAAGTGGGCCTTAGGAAGCATCATTACGAACAAAGCTAGTGGAGGTGATGGAATTCCAGTTGAGCTATTTCAAATCCTGAAAGATGATGCCGTGGAAGTGCGGCACTCAATATGCCGGCAAATCTGGAAAACTCAGCAGTGGCCACAAGACTGGAAAAAGATCAGTTTTCATTCCAATCCCAAAGAAAGGCAATGCCAAAGAAATGTTCAAACTACCACACAATTGCACTCATCTCACATGCTAGCAAAGTAATGCTCAAAATTCTCCAAGCCAGGCTTCAACAGTATGTAAACTGTGAGCCTCCAAATGTTCAAGCCAGATTTAGAAGGCAGAGGAACCAGAGATCAAATTGCCAACATCCATTGGATCATTGAAAAGCAAGAGAAATCCAGAAAAACAGCTACTTATGCTTTATTGACTATGCCAAAACCTTTGACTGTGTGGATCATAACAAACTGGAAAATTCTTAAAGAGATGGGAATACCAGACCACCTGACCTGTCTCCTGAGAAATCTGTATGCAGGTCAAGAAGCAACAGTTAGAACTGTACATGGAACAACAGACTGGTAACAAATAGGAAAAGGAGTACGTCAAGGCTGTATATTGTCACCCTGCTTATTTAACTTATATGCAGAGTACATCATGAGAAACGCTGGGCTGGAAGAAGCACAAGCTGGAATCAAGATTGCTGGGAGAAATATCAATAACCCCAGATATGCAGATGACGCCACCCTATGGCAGAAAGCAAAGAACTAGAGCTTCTTGATGAAAGTGAAAGAGGAGAGGGAAAAAGTTGGCTTAAAACTCAACATTCAGAAAACTAAAATCATGGCATCTGGTCCCATCACTTCATGGCAAATAGATGGGGAAACAATGGAAACAGTGGCTGACTTTATTTTTCTGGGCTCCAAAATCACTGCAGATGGTGATTGCAGCCATGAAATTAAAAGACACTTACTGCTTGGAAGGAAAGTTATGACCAACCTAGATAGCATATTAAAAAGCAGGGACATTACTTTGGCAACAAAGGTCCGTCTAGTCAAGGCTATGATTTTTCCAGTGGTCATGTATGGATGTGAGAGTTGGACTGTGAAGAAAGCTGAGTGCCGAAAAATTGATGCTTATGGACTGTGGTATTGGAGAAGACTCTTGAGAGTCCCTTGGACTGCAAGGAGATCCAACTAGTCCATCCTAAAGGAGATCAGTCCTGGGTGTTCATTGGAAGGACTGATGCTGAAGCTGAAACTCCAGTACTTTGGCCACCTCTTGCGAAGTGTTGACTCATTGGAAAAGACCCTGATGCTGGGAGGGACTGGGGGCAGGAGGAGAAGGGGACAACAGAGAATGAGATGGCTGGATGGCATCACCGACTCGATGGACATGAGTTTGAGTATGGTCCGGGAGTTGGTGATGGACAGGGAGGCCTGGCGTGCTGCAATTCATGGGATCGCAGAGTCGGACATGACTGAGTGGCTGAACTGAACTGAATCTTTCTATGTTTGAGGAAAATGGGGCTTAAATACATAGGAAGAGAGCAAGGTATTGTGATCTAAATCATGTTTAATTGCAATATGTTCCAGTTAGTTTTACACTGAAAACCATTTCATAACAGTGCTTGGATTCATGTGTGGATGGATTAAAGCAACTGAACTTCACAACTGGAAAGGAAAAGATCCTTAAAACTTGAGCTTTCATGACTACTTGGCCTCATTATGTATTACCAACAACACTTTATTTTACTCCTATAAAAAAAAAGAAAGTGAAGTCGCTCAGTTGTGTCCAACTCTTTGTGACCCCATGGACTATAGCCCACCAGGCTTTTCCATCCCTGGAATTTTCCAGGCATGAGTACTGGAGTGGGTTGCCATTTCCTTTACTCTACTCCTATAAGGAGAACTAAGTTCAGAGTTTGAGAAATTATCAAATATGTTGTTGTTAAGTTGTTGTATTTGTTTAGTCATTAAGTTGTGTCTGACTCTTTTGCAAACCCGAGGATCACAGAACACCAGACTTCTCTGTTCATGGGATTCTCCAGGCAAGAATACTAGAGTGGGTTGCCATTTCTTTCTCCAGGGGATCCTCCTGTCCAGGGATCAAACCCAGGTCTCCTACGGTGGCAGGCAGATTCTTTGCCACTGATCCACCAGGGAAGCCCTATCAAATATATACTAATTACCAAATATGAAGCTAAAAAATTTGTACTAAGTATGTACAAATATGTACCTAATACTAAATTTATGTAGGCTTTTCTCAGCTTTAATCAGTATAATCATGCCTATTAGTTGATGAAATTTGTGTACTAATCCATTTGAGAAAATATAGATAAAATGGAAAGGAAACTATGATGGGAATCAGGAGCCTACAGTACTAATCTTGCCTCTGCCACTGGTTCATCATGTTTTTTAGCTAAGTTACCATTTTGGGGACTCAGCTTCTTCCTCTCAAAATGGCACTGGTTATAGTGTGATTGGCTGGATTAGTTTATCTCAAAATATTTAAAAAATATGATTCTGAAGAAGTAAAACTGTCACTGTTGGCAGATGACATGATACTATACATAAAAAATGCTGCTAGAAAACTACTAGAGCTCATCAATGTACTTAGTAAAGTCATAGGATATAAAATTAATACACAGGGGCGGTCCTAAGATGGTGAAGGAATACGACAGGGAGACCACTTTCTCCCCCACAAATTCATCTAAAGAACATCTGAACGCTGAGCAAATTCCACAAAACAACTTCTTAACACTGGCAGAGGACATCAGGCACCCAGAAAGGCAGCCCATTGTCTTCGAAAGGAGGTAGGACGAAATATAAAAGATGAGAGACAAAAGAGTTAGGGTTGGAGATTCATCCCAGGAAGGGAGTCTTAAAAGAGGAGAAGTTTCCAAACACCAGGAAACCCTCTCACCGATGGGTCTGTGGGGAGTTTTGGAATCTCGGAGGGCAAAATAACCAGGAGGAAAAAATAAATAAATAAAACCCACAGATTACATACCTAATGGCAACTCCCAGCAGAGAAGTAGCCCAGATGCTCACATCTGCCACCAGCAAGTGGGGGCTGAACAGGAAGGAGCGGGCTGCACTGCTTAGGGTAAGGACCAGGCCTGAATGGCCTGAGGGCAATCTGAGGGAGCTAACGTGAGTTAGCAACACAAACTGTGGGATAGCCAGAGAGAGAGAGAGGAAAGAGAGAGAGAGAGAGAGAGAGAGAGAGAGAGAGAGAGAGAACTATCTCGCAAAAAGCCCTAACTTAAGGCACTGCCGGCCAGCTCACAGAACAAAGGACTGAGCGAATACCAAAGGAGAGGTAGCAGGCCTCGGACCACCCAATCCCCTGCCAGAGGCAGGGGGCAGGCGGATGTCAGCCAGAGCCCGAAAGGGGCAAACTTGACCCCAGAAACAGCATCCCCTACCAAACTGTGAACAGGCTTGTAGTTTCTAACCAAGGTTGCCTGGGATTCTGGATGGTTGACATCCGCTGGGAGGGCCACAGCCAGAGATCAGCTTCCAGGAAGAGAAAAACGGCACACCGGAGACGGGCGCACCTGCTGCAACCCAGCAATCCGACCGACTAGGACCCAGGAGGTGATAAGACGCACTCGCTGCCTGCAGAGAGTGTGCTCGCCAAGCGTCTGGTTTCCTGAGCTGCTCTACCAGGGAAGGGCACAAAACACAGGCCCAACTGAGTTTGCGCCTTTGTGGAGTACCCGAGAACCTGAACCTGAGTAGCTTAGACCTGGGAAGTGCATGCAACCCAGGGCCCGCTCCCTGCAGAGCAACCTGGAACCTGAGCAGTGTAGACTGGGAAAGCACACATGCCGTGAGCGGGGGGTGGGGGGTGGGTGGGTGGGTGTGTGGGGCAAAGCCAGTGTGGCCGAAACACTGCGAGCATTCCCCACACATGCCAGTGATATTTGTTTGCAGTGTTCCTCCCTCCCCACAGCACGACTGAACAAGTGAGCCTAAACAAGAGACTGCCTTTGCCCCCTTGTATTAGGGCAGAAATTAGATACTGAAGAGACTTGCAAACAGAGGAAGCCAAAATAGACAGAGGGAACCGCTTTGGAAGTGACAGGTGCAACAGGTTAAAATCCCTGTAGTTAACACTGACTACATTGGAAGGGACCTATAGATCTTGAGAAGTACAAGCTGGAACAAGGAACTATCTGAAACTGAACTTACCTCACACTGCCTGCAACAGC